GCATGAGTAGTAAAAGAACACAATAATTCCTCTTCGATGGCACCTAGATTGATCATGAACAAATGCACTCCTTCTGCAAAATCCTTGCACAATGTTGTTTGGTTGCAGTTTTAACCTTAGTATTGATGAATCCCCGTAGAACCTGTCGCCTACCTTGCACTTTAAACTCCATCCTAAGTTTATCAAAGTTCCACAAAATATCACCCAATTTAATTAGTCATTCAATTCCCAACACCAAATCACAACACCCTAAAGGTAGAAGAAGCATGTCAGCCATAAAGGTAGTGTGGTGCATATTCCAAGTGAAATTCCTAACCATTGTTGAAATCTTAATCTTGTATCCACCCGCTACCACCACATTCAAGGGATTTATATTTTCTACTATACACCCATACTTTTGTGCTACTTGAGTATCCAAAAAATTGTGAGTACTGCCATTGTCAATCAAAATATGTAAGAGTTTCTTTTGGTTATAACACTTAATCCTCATTGTTCTAAATCCTATTACCTTTGTCAACGCATTTATTGAAATTTGTGGTTCTTGTTTAAGTAAGTTGTTTCCATCATCACCCATGGACTTATCACTATCCTCCTTATCATCCTCTGCCTTCATCACATAAACTTGCAACTTATTGTGAGTTAAACCATGTTTTGGGAATAAGGTTGATCATAAAAGTATCCTTTAACTCTTCTTTAATTCATATAAGCAAGAGTTAAACATTTTTCAAGGGCCAACTTTGACTTGCTCTAGTCTTCTTCTAAAGAAACATTTTTATCTAGACCCAATGGTTTATGACCCAACACACCCTGTTGTTGTTCAATTCCTGTTAGGCCTACCGTAGTAGAAAATTTCTCAGCCTCATACAATCTTACTAAAGAAAAAACCTTATGGATGGTAATTGGTAAAAACATGCAGACCATTACTTGTGTATCTTTCTTGAGACTCCCTAAGAAGTAACTCAACGAATAATCTTTAGAGAGATTTAGCTGAGTAATAATAACATCAAATTGTTTATAGTACCATTGACTTTTTTATCGAAACTTCATTAAATTTGTCATTGGGGTTAGCACAAATATCATTGAAGCGTTCGAGAATCAGCTTATGGTATTCCTTCCAAGTAGGCATGACAACGGGACCGGGCGGGACGGGCGGGACGGGCGGGGCGGAGCGGGGTGGGGCGGGTTTTGCCTCCCGATCCCCGCCTCCGACTTTTTAACCATCCTCATCCCCGTCCCCGATCTCCGCCGGGTTAGAAATTAAGTTCTCATCCCCGTCCCGCTGGGTTTCGAGTTACCGCCCAGTCCCCGATTTATTTTATTTTTAAAAAGATAATTACATTTATAATAAATTAATTTTACTATCTATTTTTTATATATAAATAAATATTTATAATTTATAATTATTATTAATTAAATATACATTTTAATTTATTATATTTATATTAAAATATGTATGCAAAAGAAATATTTAATCATTTTGTATTTATAATATTATTATTATTATAACACTTGTATTCAAATATTTGAATATTTATAACACTATTATTATAATACTATATTCAAACATTTGATTATATATAAGTTAATTCATTTTTAAGTTGTCATTTAAAAATATGAAATATATAGTTTATAAGGAAATATTTAATAAGTTAATTCTTATTCAATTAGTTCGAAGTAATAAAAATTTAAATTATCAATTTTTTTAATATTTAAAATACAATTATTTTATTAAGATAAAATTTGATATATGATAAATAAGAATAATAAGATAAAAAAATGACATAATAAAACCTAATAAATATAAATTATAAATAAAATAATATTAGTTACTATTAAGATTTATGTAAAATATTTATAAAAAGATAAAGAATAAAAAAAATTAACTTTGTGTTCATCAAATTAGTTGAAAAGATTGAAAAAAAAACAAATTGATGGGAGAGATTAAGGAAATGTAAAAAACTGAAAAGTAAGAAAAAGAATAATGTAATAAATTAATTGATATAAAAGATTAAAAAAAGACAAAAAAATTAAAAAGTGGGTAGAAGAAAAAAAATTGGTGAAATATAAAAAAATGACCTTATATGTAATAGAAAAAGAAAAGAAAATACTTTTAAAATATTAATATTTTAAAATTTAAATTTAAATATAAAGTCGAGACGGGAACGGGGACCGAGTCGGGGTGGGGATTGCATTACCCATCCCGCCCCGCCCTCACCCTCGACTTTTTAAAGCGGGGAAAACCCAAACCCGCCCCCGCCCCCGGTCAACTCGGGTTTTCCCCGTCAAACTCGGGGCGGGGACGGGTCGGTTCCTACGAGGACGGGTTTAATTGTCATCCCTACTTCCAAGACATGGCCACACACTTAATGGTTTTTGAAATTGTAGAATGCCACTTAAATGCTTTGCCTTCCATATCAACAATCGTCAAACTTACTTACATTGTTGAGTGTGTTATCAATTAGGAAAAAAATGTTACATTGATAAAATCATTGGTTAACGTTATCACTATTAAATCGTAGAAAGTCAATTATGGCTAAATGTGTACCACAAGAATATGTCAAATTACATTGGTCAATTCTAACCATTGATCTAGTGGCCTTCGTGTTTTATTATAGTAATTCTTGGAAAGTTTCTTGCATAGTGGCGCCCAAAGTCTTTTGTAAAAAACCCGCAAGTTCAGCCAATTGTCCCTCCAATCTAGATGCGAGACGTTCTTCTAAGTCCTCCATGTTGCAACGCCTTGTGTAGAGTCCACCTTGAAAAAAAAAAAGAGTAACCTAAAAAACCTGATCTTATTGAAACCAATTGATAAGAGAAAACTAGTTCCAAGAATATTGCACTCGAGGAACTAAGAAACTAGGGAACCTAAGGGAAGGGGGTTTCGAGAAGCATCTATCAAGAAGTAAATGAAGAGTGAATATTGATCGATAAACACTATCAAGAATGAATCGAGATAGTATATTGAGATATTGTTGATCGAGATACGCTATTAAGAGTGAATCGAGACAATATATCAAAAGATTATTGATCAAGATATATTATCAAGAGTAAATTAAGACAATGTATCGTGATATGAAGAATCGAGACATAGTATCAAGAGGAAGCGTACATATCTAAACAAAATATTAGGAAAGAGAAAATTACACAAAAATGAGAAATTAATTATATATTCCTGATGCTTCCTTTTTTAGAGTTAATGAATAACTAATTTCGTTTTAAATTCTAATAATTAATTTTATTGTATTATGAAACACAATAATCAACAATAAAGATGTAAGAAAAGTAAAAACATTGTTAGTTGAAGTGAAATATTAGGATAAATCCTCTATTATCTGAAATTTACTTTTTACCTGAGAAAAAAAAATCAAAGTTGCATTGATAAAGCTTAGACATATACATTTAACTTAAGCTCATCCAATATCGTGTGTTAGTAGCGTTTTTAAAAAAATTACCACATAGTGCTCTACGTTAATTAGTTTTTAAACTTTTTTAACTTTAATTTTGACGTGAAATACATATTAATTAATCACTTGTGAGAGAAGGAGAAAAACACTCAAGAAAACGAGTAGTAGCAGAAGGAAAGACCAAGAATGCAATAGTGGAGGTTGTGCTGCGAGGAATAAGCGAGAATACAAGAGTGGAGTACACATAATCATAAAAATATGAGAATGCAACAATGATGGCACACTGTTAAGAGATTGCGAGAATGCAACAATGAGGACACGACGTCAGAGTGAGTAAGCACAGTTTCCTTGTACGAGGAAAGAGAAAATATAAACAAATAATAATTAATTTTTTTAATAATATTTTATTTTAGGGGAGAGTTATTATTTTCGGCTATATTTTTCTTCTTTTGTCAACCAATCATTTTCCTTTAAACTTAATATTTATCTTCTGACTTTTGTAATAGTGATTGCTCTTTAAGATGTGTAAGCTTTTATATTAGGCATATAAGGTTATATTTATTGAACACAGACAATTATGCTCTCAAAATCATCTTTAATCTAAGTGAAGCCAATTGTCTTTTTTTTTTTTTGTTTCTTCATCTAATAAAACTTATAGGAGGACACAAAGATTTAGTTTTTAGATGATTTACTATTTTTTGGATATAGATTATCTTGTGATATTTATAACTTTTGATAACTCTTTTCATGTTTAAGTGAATTATTATTAAACACACAAATCCTGAATTTATCTTTATTAAAACATTAGTTTATCAAAACTTAATTTCATTATTATTAGAATATTTAAAATTAAATTTTACAATACACTTAAACTATTTAGACTATAAGTTTTTTAAGTTCGATTTAATTTATTTTTTTATTACTTAATCACGAACCAAGTTTATTTTGATTTATTTTCAATTTAATAAAAAAGTAGTCAAACTAAATCAATAGTTCAAATTATCTCATATTATAATAAAAATAACATATTGTAAAAAATATATAATAAAATAATAAAACAACATTAATATATATATATATATATATATATTATTAATTAATAATTAACTCTAAATATATAAGTAATTAAAAAAATAATTTTGATCCTTTCTCAAATTTTTAGATAAATTTTGATTTTTTTTCTTTTACTAATTCAGTTTTTAATACCCTAGAACTACATAGTTGTAGGATATAAAAATGTGTGTGTGTGTATATATATATATATATATATATATATATATATATATATATATATATATATATATATATATATATATATATATATATATATATATATATATATATATAAAGAGTATGCGTTACACTAATTATGATTTCCAACTAATAATTTTCAACTAATAATCTAGGTTCATCAAGTAATCACTATAATATGTACCAGACCGGTTCTATGATTGTTCATGATGTTTTCTTCATCCACCCCCTTCTATGTAACATGAAGATCCACACTGTGCAAAAGATACTAATTTATATATGATGAATTGAAATCGGGCAAGAGGGAAATTCCAGATCCAGTTGAACAAGTTAAGAAAGAAGCACATGGCAAAGGAAAGTGGCAATAACATGGTCCCGGTGTTGTGGCTGAATCGCATGGTTTCAGAACCTTATTACCTCTTCCATTTCTTAACTTTCTTCTCCTATTTCATCATTCGCAGCTCCGCTTCCCAAGTCCTAGCACCTCATCTCACCCCACATCTCCTTCGTCGCGTAAAACTCTTTCTCCCTCTTTATCTCTCTCGCACGCTTCTCTTCACAGATTACTTAATTTACTTGTTCCCCCTCTCGCAGGAAATACAATCGTTGCTAGTGTTTGCGTTATTGGCTTTCATCAAGGTACGCGCTTTTCAAATCAGATCGATTTTTTCCTCCAGTTTTCATCCCGCTGCCTAAAATTTACTTGTTGATTGTTTGAACTGCAATTGTTAACTCTAAAAATTGTGCGTACTTTTGTAACAAAAAATGCAAATTGCAGGTTATACAATTCAACTCTTGGTCTGGTGTAGTTATATATTAACTTTGTTTTGTGTAAAAAAAAAAAAAAAAAAAACATTTTTTTAAAGTGTACCATTACCCTTTTGTTGATTATAAAGGATAATGGAAGTGTCATGTGGCTAGTTCATGGTGACATTAATCACTGTTTTAATATTGTGGCTACTTCATGGTGAAAATAATCACTGTTTTAATATTCAATAATGCCATGAGTTGTTAGTTGAAATTTATGTAACTGTGGTAAGTTGGTTGACATTTTTACTAGCCTTTTATGATTTGACATGAAAGGGGTTTTGCAGATTAAATGTGAATAGTGCAGAGTTGAAGGGTAATCTTTCTACATTTTCAAATCAAGAAACTTCTTGTTTTGTCTTATGTGTTAGTGAGAATCTCCAGTTACAATTTGTGTGGTTAAGCCACTCTAATATTTGTTAGTTTGTTGATTTGGGGCTATATAATCGATCAACTGTTGTTTCACATACTGCTGCTATTGACCTTGGACAATATATGTGTACATTGTATTCAATTTTATAATTTTTTGCTACAGGGAGTGAAAGAAGAAACATGGGAAGCCTTTATAGCCGATGCACTTTTCCTTGCCAAGGTAATCAAATCACAATTAATAAACTTGTAGGACTTTTACAGCTTCCTTCTTTGATTCATAAATCGCTTCTCACTTGCCCCTTTTTACTATCAGTAAGACTGGCTTCTGACATTTTTATTTAATTTGAAACTGAAGTGTTTATACTATAAAATGGCATCTTAACTCTAATTAGATTAGATGCATATTAAACTATGAGCATCCATTATTATGATTTTCCTGCTCCTCGTTTGTTATTAGCAATTGACAGTTTGTGTTGTGAAAAAGTAATGTCTATGTTTCATGTGTTAAATGGTTTTCTTGATGCTGCATACTTGTGATTTCATCTCTTTCTATGTGTATATGGAAGTTCTCTAACCTTGTATCTTATCTTATTATTCCCAGATTTGTCTTTTTGTCCTAGCCTTTACAATGGATCGCCGTTTAGCCGTATGGTATATTCTTGTATTTTTAGGTGGGTAGTTTCATCTTGTTTTGTATTAGTTAGGCACAGTTGCCTTTTATTCACACCATGTTTAGTTTCTTGCAGTAGAATTTCAACTATGAAATGCACCATGTATATAAGATATTTTTTGTCAGTTTTTGTGATTTTAAAAATGTTTTTTCATTGGTGATTTTTTATAAGCAAAACCGAATGATGTTTTAATTGATTGTGCTTGCATTTTGCATTTTGGTAATAAGTCCAAGTTGTACATTGGATATCCTGCTGAAAGTAAATTACAATTACAGACTGTGATTCTACACCCCATTTTGTAGATGCATACTTATGATTATTTTCTGTATTGCAGTGATACATATATTAACACAACAACCTCTATTCCAAGGATTAGGTACTGTGGGTTGGGTTTGGCTGATTTGCCTTTATGATTTTGTTATATTAAGCATCTTCTCAGTTGAATTCATTATTTTATCATAGTCGAAGACCATATGATTGAATTCTGCTTCTCTTCAATTAATTCTTACAGGTACGTCCAGCAAGCTAACACCATTGCAGTTGGAAAGCCTGTTGACAGATGGGACTACTACAAGATTGTGGCTGGTGCGAATCTTAAATTGGATGGATTTGCTTTCTGAATCTTTCGAAAATATCCTTTGTTAGTTTAGTGAATGCCGTCAATGAACAATGATGATGACCTGTGGGAAACAGTGTGGTTCAATCTATATTTATATAGTGTAGTTCTTTTTTACCAATTTTCTGTTTTTTCCAGTATTGTATAGGAGAATAGGTGGGGGTAAAATGTGGTAGGTGAGAAGAATTTATTTCTGTTTTTCCCTTTTTGTAATTTATTGGTCAACTAGTTATGCATGTGGGCGGGAGTATTGTTCAGTAGCTATATCATGCATTTACTTCTGTTTAATCCTATAGTACACGAAACTATCTCACTATCAGTTTTGAAATAGAGCAGAAAGTAATATTAGAAGTGTATTCAGTTTAGTCAAGTCATTGTTATGTTTTAGTTCTCTGTCCTTTTCCTGTAGTTTTATCCATTTTTCTTTCTTTCTGTGAGTTGGCAGGTGGAATTTCGTGCTTCATATTCACCTGCTTGTATTCGCTCAAGCCAGCAGTTTCCTGAGCTCTCAATTACGTATGCTTCTCTTTGACTTTTGTCTTGAGCTATTCGTCCTCCCTTAAAAAGGAAAAATACTGAAAAATTCAGGTCGTTGTACTTCTTACCTGATATAAGTAGCTTTTGTGCCTTAAATAGGTTTAGAAGCTGTGTAAATATTTTTTGCTTTGAGTAAACATTTTTTGTGTGTTCTAATAATCCCCAAATTTAGTAAACGTTTTGGTTATGATTTTTTTTAGAATATAAATTTGCCACCACATTTTTCCTGTTTTAAAAATTGTTGGAAATGAACACTTGGTTTTCAAATTTGCCCTCATTTTTTTAATTGTTTCCCAAAGCTTTCATCCAAACCTAACCAAATAAATTTTCAAATATTTTTACTGTTTAAATTAAAAATTAAAATAGGAAATAAACAAAGTAAACATTCAAATATTTCTGAGTTTAGAGATTTTACCATCAAATGCAAACCAATCTCATCTTTCTTCCATTGTTTGGCTTGGGAAAAACTAAAACCACATGAACTAGTGTTGAAATCCCACACCAGCTAGGTAATAAGTATATGGCCAAAATACTACTTAAATTGACTTGGGCAATTCTCATTCATTCAGTTAGATTTCGGAACTGCATTAGATCCAGTCTGTTATGAATTCCATTAAGGTATTAAAACCCATCCAATACAAATGAATTATATTAGGGAAACTTCTTTTCTGTTTACTCAGAAAGTGTACAAGTTAACTAAGTTGGTGAAAAAGAATTTATATCCTGCATCAGCAATTTCCATGACAATTGTTGTGATAAACAATTTTTGACAATTTCTGCACATTCATGTCTCTGGCAGATATTCAAGCAAAAATTTATCGTTTGGAATAGTTGACCTTGGTCTCTTTCCCAATGCTGCTGAAAAATTTGGCATATCTCTAAGTGGTACGTATATTAATTGATAGCAATTTGAATTTGATTTTCCTTTTCTCTCTAAAAGTACTTAATTTCTTTCTTCTTTTTCCGTTGTATTGTTGTTTTAGTTATTGTTGTATAGTGATTTAGTGAATATGGAATTTATAACCTTGTGATTATCTTATTAGGAAGCATGGGCCAGCTTCCTACATATATCTTATTTGAGAATGCAGCTGAAGTTGCTCGCTTTCCAGAGTTGGATTTTGAAGCAACATATTTTCACCCTACAATTACAAAGGTTTCTGTCATATGTAGGATATAAGCTATTTTGAATAGTGACTATAACAAGACCAACTGGTCATAAAAGAAGAAAAAATAAGTTGAGTTTCTCTCGAAGTACAAATAATTTATGCACTTTTGTTTTTTGAGAAGATAAAAAGAACTTTTATACAAGTGCATAAATTGATTATAACTTGTAAGAGAAAGTGAAAAAAATACTTGTGCAGAAGAATTTAACCAAACAGGTTCAAAATATGCTCTGATTTAAAAAATTTAACTTGTTATCGTCACTGTTGAATTCATTGTGTCTCCGATTTACTTAGTTTAACCGTGCATATGGATTGTGAGCTGCAGGGGCTTCTTGCTCGACATTTTGAGCTTGATCGGCACCTTCTGGAATATGTTAATGGTAAATAGGTAAATCTCTCTGAAGTTCTATCCTACCATGCTCCATTGTTCCTCTGACCCTTTTTAGAAATATTGTAATCATTTGAGATTTATTTGTTGCTTCTAGGATGCCATGGAGCAAGTTGTTCTCCCAAATTTACTCTCACTGCACTCTGATTTGTGCTATTATTACAGGTAGAAACAAATTTTTTTTGTAGAAGAGATCAAATTTTAGTTGAACGAATTATGTCATCTTAAAATTCTTATAAATTTTCCAAATATAACGTTTAACGTTTCTAAACATCTTGGCAGAATTCTTTTCACGTCGAGAAGCTGATATTACCATATTGGATATGTGACAAATGTGAATATTTTCTGCAGAATCTTAGTGCTTAATAATAAATTAGAAAATAAAGAATTGTGTACTAGAGTGTGTACGAACAACAACAATAAAGTTCATTCAAATTGAGATAATCTCAACCATTTTTACAGTGATGTTGTCAATAGAAGAAACTTCTATGCCCTAATATTGAAATTGACACATTGAAAAGAAAAATCATGAATTGAAAAGACAAAATGAAAGAGTTAGAGTGTAAAATTAGCACTAATAGAACCATGTGTTGTAAAGCATCGCACCAGAACAAGCATGCAATCTTACCATAGTATTATTTTAAATTGTATTTAAGAGGACAAGTATACATTGAACGAGAGATTAATTAAGTGAACATAACGCAAAGCCTTTCGTGAAATTATACTAAATCATCAAAATGTTGTTAGGATGAACTACTTTGAAACAATTTATTTGTAGATCTTTCATAATTAAGTTAATTATTTTTTAAATTCTTCAATTTTGAGATTTGATTATGTACTTCATTTAAATTTTTGTATAAAGTCAAGAGTGATGGTTAAAAAATACTGGTGAGAGAAATAATTTAATATTAAAAAATATATATGTTTTTCTCTTAAAATGAGATATTCAACCCTCTTTTAATTTATATAAAGAATTAGACATTACGATATCTCTTTTATTTTTTTTTAGCGACTTGTTTCTTCAATCATACTATGTATTAATTTTATTAAAATATTTTATGTAAAAATAATTACGTTATATGACTATAAATCCGTTATATTTGAATTGTTTCTTTTTTATAAATTGAATACTTTTAAAGTTATGTCTAGGTTAATTTACCGTTAAATTTTAATTTTTATAATCAAATGAACTTTTTACTAAAATAAGATATCATATCTACACAAAAACCATTAGTTCATAAATCAATATTTAAAAAGTGATACACTCATCAATATAAAAATCATTTACTGAAAAATTTCAATGATAAAACATAAAAATAAGTATATTAAATAAAATATTTGCATATAACTTTCATAGAATATTTTAAACAGACAACATGAAAAACAAATTAGATCTCTTATTCAATAGAAAGGAACATTTATGATATAACTTTCTTGTAATAATTTTTAAGTTGATATTTTCTTATTAATTTGTGATTTATCAAATGCATGCATAAATATTGCGACGAGTGCAAGTATTTATTTTAACTAAATAATTATAAAATAACAAATTATAAAAATAAAAACTGTTTAACAATTTATTTTAGAATAACAATAGGGACACAACCTGACCATCCCTACCTCTAATTCTAGTAATAACAACTATCATTTTTTTTTCTACTTTGATAAACTAGGTTAAAACATTCACACACAAAAAAAAAACCTTAAATCTAAATAATAAATAAAAACATGTAATTACATCAAACATTTAATATAAATTAGATAATTTAGTAAATTCAAAAAAAAGAATCTACATAATTCAACTCACTAAACATTGAATTTCTTCCTCCATTTTGTGAGCCATTAGCTGAAGGCCCACATGATACTTCCTAATAAGCTCCTCAAGCTCCAACCCTTCCACAGGGTCAACAGCAAAGGACCATTCCAACGTGCATCCATTCGACTCGTCATCATCACCGTTGCTTAGGACCTTCATCGTTGACTCGTAGGAAGTGAACCCAATGTTGCTGTCCACCATCTCATACTTGAGCCAGAAATCAGCATCATCAACGGCTACCAGCCTCTCCTTGGACCAGCTCAGCCTTGCTGGGCCGTTCGATGGGATGGAGGATCCGGCGCAGTATCGTATGCAGCCAGGGTCACCGTTGGATCCGTGAAGCCCGTAGCACGTGGCTAGCGTGGGGAAGCGCTTGTGGAGATTGAAGAAGTCCTTCACCAGAGGCCATGCTTGTGCTTTGGTGGCGTTCCGCAGCTTCGCTGAAACCTTGCCTTCCCATCGATTATGATGCGAATTTTTCTCCATTTCGGTTGAAAGCATCAAAACCTCTTCCAAGAGTCCATGGAAACAAGGTCTCTTTTTCTAATCTCTTTTAGTTTTTATAGCTTTAATTAAATAATAGAGCCCAAGAGAACTTTCAAATTATATATTCATACTCAAAATTTACTAAAATAATATTATTATATTATATATATACACGAAACATAACCTCAAATGAAATTATTTAATTATTTATTTAACATAATATCTCATAAAATTATTTATTTAACTGAATTTTTTTTATTTACTTAACTAAATCTTTTTTACTATTTTACTTGGAATTAAGTTTCACCTAAACTAAATTTCATCTTTAAACTTATCACTTTTTTAAATGAAAAAAATTAAATAAAATATATAATTAAAAATAATATTAAAAATAAAATTTTAATTTTAAAATTTAAATAATATTTATATAAAAAATAATAAAAATAATATATTATTTAAATATATATTAAATTATTTAAATATGTTTAAAAAATTATTGAAAATATTAAATAATAATTTTTTATTATATTTTTTTATATATTTTTTTCTTTTTGAATAGGAAATTTAAAATTTATATATTTTTTATTATATGAATTATTTAAGTTATAATTTTAGAAAAAAATAGAATAAATAAAAATTTAATTTAGGTAATAGATTAAAAAATTAAATATTATATTATAAAAATTTATATAATAGTTTTTATTTGATAAATTATAAATATTATATTAAAAAAATCATGCTAAAATTAATTTTTTTAAATAATAAAGTAAAAATATTATTTAATTAGTTAAAATTTATTATTATTAATATAAAATAAACTTAAAAATAAAAAATAATAAAAATTGACAGAATTTAATGTATAATATTAAAAATAACATAATCATTGATAATAAAAATTGAAAAATAAAATTATTGACAATAATGTTAAGAAAAATTTAATCTAAAAAATGGTGTCAGGTTCACAACGAGGACGACGTCTATTACGTTTTGGATTTCGTCGGTGTGGTTGGTCTTAAATTTCAGGAGAAATTTGTGGAGGATTTTCTTCTTTATAAACCTTTATTATTTTCACTCTATAAAAATCTTTCTACCTTTATTATTTTTCTTTAATATCATGTTCTATAATTTTTATTTTGCTACTAATAACTTATTTTTAATTTTACTTTTAATATTTTATATATTAAATTTATCAATTTTTTCTAAAGTTATAACTTAAATAGTTCATATAATAAAAAATATATATAAATTTTAAATTTTCTATTAAAAAATAACAAAAATATATAAAAAAATATAATAAAAAATTATTATATTTTAAATTATTATATATAATATAATAATATTATTTTAGTAAAATAATAATTTAAAATTTTTGTAAATATTATTTTTGTAAATAATAATATTCCCTTCCTTTCAACTATTGTTGGTTGCAATTTCCAGTTATCTTGGTATGGATTTTTTAATTTTTTCTGAGGAAATTAGTAATTTTCCTTTTATTCCGGACTCTATTTATTTTCCATTTATTCCACAAGGGGCCACGATGGCTTTTTATGGAATTGGGGGTCTCTTTATTAGTTTTTCTTTGTGGTGGATTATTTTGTGGGATATAGGCGGTGGTTATGATCTCTTCGATAAAAAAAGAAAAAAGTATGTTTTATTCGTTGGGGATTTCCTGGAAAAAATCGTCGTATTATTCTCAAAATACCTATGAACGAGATTCAATCTATCAGAATAATAACAGGAGTTCAGGAACGGGGTATTTTAACTCGTACCCTTACTTATGAGAGTATCATTTATATGGAAACAATAGAACAGGGGTTTATTCCCTTGACTCGTATTGAAGATAATTTGACTCCATCAGAAATTGCAAATAAAGCTGGCGAATTAGCTTTTTTTTTAGGTGTACCGCTTCTGTATTGATGAGAATTGGACTTAACTATAAAAAAAAATTGCACAAAAAGCTTCAGAATTGTCCTATTTATTTGGTGTACCAATTGAAATATTTTGAAAAAAAAAAAATTTTTTTCAAAATATTTCAATTTTTATAGATGGGACGTTATTTGATTTCGAAATCTGAATATTATAGTCATAAATCGAAGTGCTCCTCGGTGTATTTAAAAAAAGAAATCATTTTTTCTTCGAATCTTAGCAGCAATTAATATCCTTTCGAAACAATCTATTTTTTTCTTCATTGGAATTTACTGTGCATTCTTTCGATTTCTTATTCGAGTTATGTATTCTTTTTTATAAATTAAACAAGGCAAAGACTAACTCCTGAAGTTTAAGTAAAAAAAATGAAAAAATTCATTCCCCTTCTATATCTTACATCTATAGTCTTTTTGCCCTGGTGTATCTCTTTCACATTTAAGAAAAGTCTGGAATCTTGGTTTATGAATTGGTGGAATACTAGGCAATCCGAAATTTTCTTGAATGATATTAAAGAAAAGAGTATTCTAAAAAAATTCATAGAATTTGAGGAACTGTTTTTCTTAGATGACATGTTAAAGGAATGTCCGAAAACATATTTACAAAATCTTCGTACTGGAATCTATAAAGAAACAATCCAATTAATCAAAACGCACAACGAAGATCGTATGAATACGATTTTGCACTTCTCCACAAATATAATTTGTTTCTTTATTCTAAGCGGTTATTCTATTCTTGGTAATCAAGAACTTGTTCTGATTAACTCTTTGGTTCGAGAATTTATATATAATTTAAGTGACACAATAAAAGCTTTTTCTATTCTCTTATTAACTGACTTATGTATAGGATTCCATTCAACCCATGGGTGGGAATTAATTATGGGTTTCGTTTATAAAGATTTTGGATTTGCTCAAAATGATCAAATTATATCCGGTCTTGTTTCCACTTTTCCAGTTATTTTAGATACAATTTTAAAATATTTGATTTTCCGTTATTTAAATCGCGTATCTCCATCACTTGTAGTGATTTATCATTCAATGAATGATTGACAGAAAAACCGATTTACTTATCCAATTTTAATTTAAAGTTTTTAGCTAAAAAAAGATAATTTTTATTTTTCCAAACCCCCTTAAATTAAAAAGGGGTTCCCACCTTGGATAGGGAACTATGGGAGTGACCTACCTAATCTTATTGTAGAAATTTTCAGGATCAATGATTAGACCATGCAAACTAGAAATGCTTTTTCTTGTATAAAGGAAGGGATTACCCGATCCATTTCCATATCGGTCATGATATATATAATAATTCGAGCACCCTTTTCAAATGCATATCCAATTTTTGCACATGCAGGGTTATGAATGTTGGAAAAACAATAATAATAATAATAATAATAATAATAATAATAATAATAATAATAATAATAATAATCCTGATTTTGATTCTAACGATCAAACATAAACGTAATCCCATACTTGATAAACATGTTGTAAGCTCGAATGTGAAAGCGTACTCGAATTAGCCATAATGATGATGTCTTTGTAGAGCACTATATTGATCTTATGGTCTTCCACCTGAAGAGCACCTGTATTTTCCTCTTGATTTTCTCTCTTGATGGGGATAGAAACAAAGGAACGGGACTGATACTTACGCTCTGTGTGTGTGCTCCCAAAAGGGGACCATGACCCTTTAGATAAGCAGAATTAGGTTAATTACTTAAGTTTTAGTATTTCCAATTTGGCCCCTCATCAAATTAGAAATTGCTCAATGGTCTCTATACAATTTTATTTTCATGACATATGCTTTTAGCCAAAACTTTAATTTAGTCAGATCACTTTATTATTTGGCTTAATAAATAATGGCCCTAACACATTTAAATTATGTATCATATATATACATGACCCAAATTTTGCCAACAATCTCCACTGGTCACAAATATATATGTCCTTACAACCTTACAAATGTGTTAGACTTTATGAGCTCAAAATTGTCATTATATTCCTTTAGCATACTCCAAAAGTCTTGTCCATTAATCATATCAAGATATAGAACCAAACCAGCTTTTCATTGCATCATCGCAACTAAAACCAACAATGATTGCTCATCCTAACATAACCAAATGACATGGATTCATCATGAAATGTGTAGCATGAAAAATTACGTGAAGGTGATCTGTACACGTCTATTTTCAACTGGTCCAAACTTTAACTTATTGAGATCGATATAATATCCTTAATGTACAAAGTGTAATGAATGAACGAAAAAACCACATATCTATAGATAACCAAATATGTCCAAAAATCAATGTATACATATATGAAATTAAACATAGAACATAAAATATATGAAAGTGACTAACTCTCACTAAACCACAAATTCCTCAAACTGTAAAACACCCATGTGAGCAACATGTTCATGAAAGACATTGGACGGAAGTCCTTTAGTTAGAGGATATGCTATCATGGAGTTTGTCCTTAAGTGTTCTATGAAAATCTGTCTACTTTGTACTTTTTCCTTAACAATACAGCTGATTTATTGTCACAATATAACTTAAGTGGTCTTTCAATTCCTTTCACAATTTGTAGCCCTGTGATAAAATTTCTCAGCCATATTCCATGATTTGATGTCTCATAGCATGTTACAAATTCTTGACATCCTACAAAATCTGAGTCAGAAAACCCAGCGATCTCCAACTGGTCTGACCTCCTATATGTGAGCATATAATCTTTTGTTCTCTTTAAATATCTTATGACTCTTTTTGCTGCTTTTCAAGGGTTTATTCCTGGATTGCTTAAATATCTGCCTAGAACCCCAACTATATATACTATGTCTGGATGCGTACATACTTGGGCATAGATCAAACTCCCTACAACTGATGCATCGGGAATCTTTTGCATTTTCTCAATTTTCAAATTCTCCTTTGGGCACTGATTGAGACTAAACTTGTCTCCCTTTAAACTTGTGATACATACAATCATCAACAATATTCATCTTGAAGTCAAATGAGTTTCATACCTTCTAGTAATGAGACAAGTTCTCAAACCTTATTGTCTTGCATGGATTTATACTTATCTTATTGCTTCAATCCACTTTTGAGATTTAGAACCTTGTATAGCTTGACGGAAGTTAACTGGGTCATCTTCCATTATATCATTATTTTCCTCATGTTCCTGAAGAAATACCATGTAATCATCCGAAATAACAATTCTTCTTTTTCTAGTGGATCTCTGCAAAGTTATTAGCTCATGATGCACAGGTTCTTGAGGATCTTGAGTTTGTTCTTCATCAACAACCAAATCATCTTGAGTAAGGGGTTCATCAACAATGCCTTGTGGAGGTTCCAAACTTACTTTATCAAAAGTAATTATTTGAATCGGTTCTGAAATTGTTACCGATTCTTCCTCCAAGATGAAGTTCTTAATATTATTCTTCCCCCCAAACTCAATATCCTCAAAGAACGTAGCAGTTTCCGTCTCAAAAATTGTCTTTAATGTGGGATCATAAAATTTATATCCCCTGGATCTTTCAGCATAACCAATAATATAATTACTTACTGTTCGGGAGTCCAATTTTTTTTCATTTGACTTATAAGGTCTTGCCTCAGCTGGACAATCCCACACATGGAAATGCTTCAGACTAAGTCGTCGCTCAATCCAAAGCTCATAATGTGTTTTGGTAGCTGCTTTAGTTGGTATTCTATTTAGAATATAAGCTGTCGTATTTAGTGTCTCTCCCCAAAATGATTCGAGTAAGGTGGAATGACAAATCATACTCTCTACCATATCTTTAAGAGTGTAACACAAGCTCAAACGTCACGATTTGATTGTGACCTGAGCACTTGTGCCATAATGCACCTGAATGAGTATTTTCAATTTTACGTTTAGTATCACGTGATTCTGTATTAAGGGTTTCATTATAGGTGGTCACAATATCAAGTAAATACTGATTATCATAAATCAAAAGTGAACTAGTTCCAACAATATCTGAATAAAAAGACAAACTGAACTTATTGTTTCCAAATGAACACAAATAACATAATTTGTCCAAATAAGAAACTGAAACCAAATTCCGTCTAAATGACGGCACAACAAAAGTGTCTTTCAAATCCAAATAAAAAACCAGTACTCAATAACAATTTAAAATGCCCTATAGCTTCCACCTCTACCGATTTGTCATCTCCAACATAAATCCATCTTTCAGAATCAATTGGCTTCCGGTAGTTTAGGCAACCCTTTCTTTTCACGCCAAGCATGATATTTATCACATTTCTTCTTTATGTGTCCAGTCTTATTGCAAAAGAAACATTTATTTTCTTGAGTTTGTTTCTTTTGTTCTGGACCCTTAGCAGTTTCTTTCTCGAGATCCTTTGATCTCTTTCTTTTGCCCTTAGCCTTGGAGGTGCTTGCAAAATGAGCATTTTTTGTCTTGTCTTGCTTTAGTCTTTCCTCTTCTTGTACGCAATGTGAAATGAACTCATTAAGAGACCATTTATCCTTCTGACAATTGTAAGATACCTTAAATTGATTAAACATTGCAGGAAGAGAAATCAACACCAAATGAATGAGCAAGTCTTCTGAGAGTTCAAGCTTTAGTGCTTTGAGTTTAAAAACAATATTAGACATGTTCATAATGTACTCCCTGATATTTCCTTTGCCTTGATACTTCATGGAAATCAAGTTCTGAAAAAGAGTGTTTGTCTCTGCCTTGTCGCTTTTTGCAAAGCGCTGCTCAATTTCAGCAAGAAATTCTTTGGCACTTGTGATGTTTTTAGAAACAGTGCCCCTAAACACCTCCGAGATGTCGCGCTTAATGATCATTAGACTCATGCGATTTGAGCGATCCCACTTCTCATAATCTCTTTTCTGTTCAGAGGTACTTGAATCCGTAGGAGTAGGGGGTTGCTCAGTCCTTAACGCAAGATCCATATCCATGCAATCAAGAACAATATCAATGTTCTCTTTCCAGTCCTTAAAATTTGTTTCATTGAGGACGGGAACAGAATTTAAATTGGTAGATACAGAAGCAATTGTAGCTGAATTTAGAACACGAGAAATAAACTAATTATGCTCACATTATATAAAAAATAAATAATATATATTTAAATAGTGGTTTAACCCATCTCAAGACACTCAATGCACCATCAATATCAAGTTTTTGGACAGTAATATTAACTGCTAGAGGTATCTTGTTGTAATAATCAAACATTGACAATAAAGCACGTCCAACAACAAACTAGTCTTTGGATTGATTTATCATCGACAAAGCAAATTCTTATAATTATCACATGTTTATCATTACAAGTGTGTATGCAATTCAGCCAAATATTAATCTTCCTTTGGGCTGACTAATACTCACATGAATATACACAAACACTAACATTCAATATTTTTCATGAACTGCCCAATTCAAGAGAAGTTACTTTGGTGACTTCTTGACTCAATTTGCTCACAAAAAATATTAAACTATCAAAAATTGAATATTTTATTTATATAACAAAACCAAATATTTAATATATGCAAATTAATTCAAAAGAGAATCACCTCATTAGAATTCTACTAAGGATGAACACCTCTCTAAAATCTCATTAGAGATGAACACCTCATTTGAATAAATCAAAGGATGAAAAAAGGCCTCATTTTCCACCAATACATAAAGGATGAACATCTCCCTAAAATCACACTAGGGATGAAACAGAGATAGTTACGAGTCTCTTTAGCATACTGCTCTAAACCCTAAAAGGGAATTAAACAGTAATCACTCAAACCCTAATTTAACATCAAATTTTCCTTAAATTCCTAGGGGATAGAGGCAATAAAATAATAACAGTCACACATGTGGAAACATTCACCAGTTGCTTAAGATTTTCTGTGTTGGGAATTCCCCAAACACCACTCCCAATTCCAAACCCATAAAATTAAATAAAAACAAAATATTAAAAAAAGAACAGAGAACCCAATACAAGAAACATTGAAATTTGAAACACTATTTCTTTCTCAGTAAAACTTGAAACTTAAACCGAAATAAAAGGGAAAAACGAAGAAGAAGAAGAAGAATCCATAGCTTCCTCCACGGTTCCATCAGCAAGTAGAATCAGATTGGGGATGTTACCCCCAAATTTAAATTTTAGGGTTCACGAAAATTAGAGATTATTCTCGACTTAGGGTTCATAAAATTGGGTAATTTGAATTGTTTAAAACAAAATTAATCCTAATTTTCATAATTAGGGTTCTATAAATTAAACAGACATGAATCAAATATGGGCGGCTCTGATACCAATTGTTGGAAAAACAATAATAATAATCCTGATTTTGATTCTAACGATCAAACATAAATGTAATCTCATACTGATAAACATGTTGTAAACTGAATGCGAAAGCGTACCTGAATTAGCCATAATGATGATGTCTTTGTAGAGTACTATATTGATCTTATGGTCTTCCACCTGAAGAGCGCCTGTATTTTCCTCTTGATTTTCTCTCTTGATGGGGATAGAAACAAAGGAACGGGACTGATACTTACGTTCTGTGTGTGTGCTCCCAGAAGGGGACCATGACCCTTTAGATAATCAGAATTAGGTTAATTACTTAAGTTTTAGTATTTCCAATTTGGCCCCTCATCAAATTAGAAATTGCTCAATGGTCTCTACACAATTTTATTTTCATGACATATGCTTTTAGCCAAAACTTTAATTTAGTCAGATCACTTCATTATTTGGCTTAATAAATAATAGTCCTAACACATTTAAATTATGTATCATATATATACATGACCCAAATTTTGCCAATAATGAAAACCCCCGAGAAGCAACCGGTCGTATTGTCTGTGCCAATTGTCATTTAGCTAATAAGCCCGTGGATATTGAGGTTCCACAAGCGCTACTTCCTGATATTGTATTTGAAGCAGCTGTTTGAATTCCTTATGATATGCAAGTGAAACAAGTTCTAGCTAATGGTAAAAAGGGAACTTTGAATGTGGGAGTTGTTCTTATTTTACCGGAAGGTTTTGAATTGGCACCCCCCGATCGTATTTCGCCTGAGATTAAAGAGAAGATAGGCAATCTGTCTTTTCAAAACTATCGCCCTACAAAAAAAAATATTCTTGTGGTAGGTCCTGTTCCTGGTCAGAAATATAATGAAATCACCTTTCCTATTCTTTCCCCGGATCCCGCTAGTAAAAGAAATATTCATTTCTTAAAATATCCAATATACGTAGGCGGAAACAGGGGAAGGGGTCAGATTTATCTTGACGGGAGCAAAAGTAATAATAATGTTTATAATGCTACAGCAGCAGGTATAGTAAAAAAAATCATACGAAAAGAAAAAGGGGGATAGGAAATCACTATAGTAGATGCATTGGATGAGCGTGAAGTGATTGATATTATACCTCCAGGACCAGAACTTCTTGTTTCAGAAGGTGAATCTATCAAACTTGATCAGCCATTAACAAGTAATCCTAATGTGGGTGGATTTGGTCAGGGGGATGCGGAAATAGTACTTCAAGATCCATTACGTGTCCAAGGTCTCTTGTTCTTCTTGGCATCTATTATTTTAGCACAAATCTTTTTAGTTCTTAAGAAGAAACAATTTGAGAAGGTTCAATTGTTTGAAATGAATTTTTAGTTCCGCGTATTTATCAACATATTAAACTCGTAAAAATAACTAATTTTTTTTCATATTTCCCTTTTCTAGAATAGAGAGTTTTCTATTATACAAATCTTTTTCTATTGTAAAATACAAGAAAACTGGATTCGATACTAAACATAAAATAGATATCTATCCATATAGATACATATCTAAAAAAAATTTAAAATATGGAAAAGTTACTCTAAGGGGGATTCTTTGTCTTTTCCTAGAGTCCGATTCCTATTCTTTCCTGTTTGTGTTGAAATATAAATATTCTAAAAATATCCATAAAATAATATTTTTGAATCCCTTCCTGAAAAATCCTATACCTTAGTTTCTATTTTTTCCAACTTAGAATCTTTCTGCTAGATAATCTTTTATTGTATATAATATGTAGTGAACAAAAAAAGAGAGGGGATTTAGAAATTTGATTAAACAAATTGAATTTCTTTAATTTGAACTTGTAAAAAAAAATGAAATGGAATTTTTTGAAACATCGGAAGAAGTAGTCATTTATATGAAAAAAAAATTAGAATTCTTAAGAACTCAAGGGGGATCCACTTACATTCGTCAAAGAAAGAGTGGATCCCTGTTGAGTTCTTAAGCTTTCATTTCAAAAATCCAATTAGAATACGATTACTACAGAGATGAGCCCAATCCGGAATATGAACCATAAAAGAAAATACCAATTAAACCGATCACAGTAATACCAGTTACAGTACCTATTATCCAAAGAGGAATCCTTCCAGTAGTATCGGCCATTTATTCCACTTTCCTCCACATTTAATCACGTAGTCAGTCATCCTAAAGACATAAACAGTCATAGATAATTATGAAATTATATCCTTCCGAATGGGATAAAAGAATTTCTAATATATATATATTATTTACTATTCCTATTTCTTCTATTAATTAATTGAAGAAATAATTTGAAAATAAAACAGCAAGTACAAAAATAAGTAATAACCCCCAGTAGAGACTGGTACGATTCAATTCAACATTTTGTTCATTTGGGTTTGATTGTGTCGTAGCTCTATAATTCAATTTAGGTTTATCGTTGGATGAACTGCATTGCTGATATTGATCCCAAAAAAGAAACAGTGGGTACCGCTAGTCCGTGAACAGCTAACCATCGTACTGTAAAAATTGGATAGGTCCTATCTATAGTCATTGGAGCCTCCTAAAAAGATCTACTAAATTCATCAAGTTGTTCCAAAGGATCAAAACGGCCAGTTATTAATGGAATTCCTTGTCAGTTATTAATGGAATTCCTTGTCGGTTCTCTTTAAATTCTATTGGATATCTATAGAATAATACTACAGATTTTCATTAGATTAGTTTACTTAATTCATGAGTTGATTAAGAAGTCTGTTGATTTGGAATCACAGGATGGGTAGATGTAACAGATGAGGAATTTCTTTCTAAATTTTGTTACTATATTTCTTTTTATTCGTAGGATTTTTTTATCTTCTTTTTTCGAAAATTTAGGGAAGTGCTTTATAAACATATGTTTAAAAAGAACGAACATCTTTCTTTTAGTTTCTATATGCCCACTATAACTAGTTATTTCGGTTTTTTACTAGCGGTTTTAATTATAACCTCGTCTCTATTTATTGGTCTTAGTAAAATACGACTTATTTGATTTGTAATTTTGAGAGGAATAGTCAATTTTTGGATAAGATATTATAAAATTCCTCACTATGTCAATTTACAATTCTCGGTCGTTGAGATTCATGATCAATACAGATTAATGTTTAAGGATAGATATTACCTTTCTTTTTACTTTTCGAACAAATAAAAATGATTGAAGTTTTTCTATTTGGAATCGTGTTAGGTTTAATTCCTATTACTTTGGCTGGATTATTTGTAACGGCATATTTACAATACCGACGAGGGGATCAGTTGGATCTTTGATTAATTAATGTCTCTTTTTTTATGGATTCCCTATTTATTTTGGTTTAATCCTAATCTACAAGGATAAAATTCAGTTCAATTATTTCAGTGTAATTATCAGGCGAACAATACTAGAATCACGCTCTGTAGGATTTGAACCCACGACATCGGGTTTTGGAGACCCGCGTTCTGCCGAACTGAACTAAGAGCGTTTTGTTTTCATAAATTCTTTTATATGATCCAATTACATTTTGCATATATATATTCAGTATTGATGTTCAATTGGAATTCGTCTTGAATTGGTCCCGGTTTATTGCTCATCTCATATAATATGAAATATCATATAATACAGAATATCATATGATAAGGAATAGTTAGGAATAGGGATGACAGGATTTGAACCCGTGACATTTTGTATCCAAAACAAACGCGCTACCAAGCTGCGCTACATCCCTTTTCCATTTGTTTCTAGTGTTATTGTAAAGAATCTTTGTCTTGTTTTCCACATTTTTCTCTGTTGATATATATATCATATCAACCGAGAAAAAAATACTTAAAAATTAAAAAGGAGGATTTGAAATGCGAGATCTAAAAACATATCTTTCCGTGGCACCAGTAGTAAGTACTTTATGGTTCGGGGCTTTGGCAGGTCTATTGATAGAGATCAATCGTTTTTTTCCAGATGCATTGATATTTCCCTTTTTTTCATTCTAGTTATTGACACGGGAAGGGGTGAAGAAGATTATAGGTCCAATTAAATATGTGTAACTAATCTACTCTCCTTTTTTCTTATTTTTTATTAGAATTGTAATGAAATAAGTTAGGAAAGATAAAGAAGAAAGGTTAATTTGGCCTCATTGAAATTCGGAGTGAAACTCGGGATCTGGTGCAGGCTTCAATGGAATTGAATTAATAATTCAATTCCTATTAATAAGAAAGTGAAAGCAGAAATCGAAATGGATAGGTTGGGGCAACAATATCATAAAAAATACTTAAAAAAAAAAATTAAAATACTGTATAGCAATTTGAAACGAAATATAATTCGAGATCAATGTATTCTTTTTGTGCTATATTTTTTATACTATATTAAATTGGAAATACTATATTAAATTGGAACGAAATATTTCATAATTTTTCGAATGATTCTTTTTTTTTTTTAGTTGTTTTCGTTCTTTTCTTTGATTCGAATTCGAAAAGAGTTAAGTTATTTAAAAACCCAAAAGAGGTTCATGGCCAAGGGTAAAGATATCTGAGTCATTGTTATTTTGGAGGGTACTTATTGTGATAAAAAGAGTCTAAATAAGGAATCAATCGGTATTTCTAGTCTAGATATTTTACTAAAAAGAATCGACACAATACGCCTAGTCGATTGGAATTGAGAAAATTATGTCCCCGTTGTTACAAACATATTTTCGTATCTATAGCTATATAGATCTATTTGTATTCTATAATTTACAATTGAATTATATACAAATATCATTATATAACAACATATGCTAAACAAGGAAGAATAAAATAAAAAAAATACAAATCCTTTATTATATTTCTTGTAATAAATGTGATTTTTGGAATAGGGATAAAGAAACTATGGAAAAATCTAAGCAACTCTTTATTAAATCCAAGCGATCTTTTCATAGACGTTTGCCTCCGATTCAATCGGGGGACCGAATTGATTATAAAAACATGGGTTTAATTTGTCGATTTATTAGTGAACAAGGAAAAATATTATCCAGACGCATAAATAGATTGACCTTAAAACAACAACGATTAATTACAATTGCTATAAAACAAGCTCGTATTTTATCTTCGTTACCTTTTCTTAATAACGAAAAACAATTTGAAAAAAGTGAGTCGACTGCTAAAATGACTAGTTTAAGAAAAAAAAGTAGAAATTAAAAATTCGAAATCCGATTTGAATTTAGATTCGAATTAAACATGGATTGATGTTTTATTCGAAATTCCATTTGATTTTTTTGTTGTAAGAAAAAAAATAATAGGTAACGAAGAATAATTTTGTTTTAAGCGTGTTGTTTATTTTGATAGTTTTATCATATGATAAAACTATCAAAATAAACAAATTTATATTCTAAACCTTCCTGGAGTAAAGTTTAAGGGGATTTTGGGTTTTTATGATATCGTTGGCAATCATAAAAAGACAATTTTCTTTTAATATAGCTATTTGTGCAACTATTTTACGATTAAGAAGCAATTGCCTCGTGTATAGACTATGAATAAAATTACTATAAATATAAGATACTTTTAGATTCCCGCTAATTACTGCATTTAGTCGACTAATCCATAAGTCGCGAAAATCTCTTTTTTCCTATCTCTGTCACGATGAGCCGAAACTAAAGCTTTCATTTTCTGTTGAGTAATAGTTCGAGTAAGTCTTGAATGAGCTCTAAATTTAAAATTTTTTATTATATTTTTTTATATATTTTTGTTATTTTTGAATAGGAAATTTAAAATTTATATATTTTTTTATTATATGAATTATTTAAGTTATAACTTTAGAAAAAAATTGATAAATTTAATATATAAAATATTAAAAGTAAAATTAAAAATAAGTTATTAGTAGCAAAATAAAAATTATAGAACATGATATTAAAGAAAAATAATAAAGGTAGAAAGATTTTTATAGAGTGAAAATAATATAGGTTTATGAAGAAGAAAACCCTCCACAAATTTCTCCTGAAATTCAAGAACAATCACACAGACGAAATTCAAAGCGTAATAGACGTCGTCCTCGTTGTGGAACTCGGACACCATTTTTTAGATTAAATTTTTCTTAACATTATTGTCAATAATTTTATTTTTCAATTTTTATTATCAATGATTATGTTATTTTTAATATTATATATTAAATTCTATCAATTTTTATTTTTTTATTTTTAAGTTTATTTTATATTAATAATAATAAATTTTAACTAATTAAATAATATTTTTACTTTATTATTTTAAAAAAATTAATTTTAGCATGAATTTTTTAATATAATATTTATAATTTATCAAATAAAAACTATTACATAAATTTTTATAATATAATATTTAATTTTTTAATCTATTACCTAAATTAAATTTTTATTTATTCTATTTTTTTCTAAAATTATAACTTAAATAATTCATATAATAAAAAATATATAAATTTTAAATTTCCTATTCAAAAATAAAAAAATATATAAAAAAATATAATAAAAAAATTATTATTTAATATTTTTAATAATTATTTAAATATATTTAAATAATATATTATTTTTATATAAATATTATTTAAATTTTAAAATTAAAATTTTATTTTTAATATTATTTTTATTATTTTTAATTATATATTTTATTTAATTTTTTTATTTAAAAAAAATGGTAAGTTTAAAGTTGGAATTCGGTTCACGGAAATCTAATTCCAAGTACAACGATAAAAAAGGTTGTAAATAATTTTATGAGATGTTCAGTTAAGTAAGTAATTTCATCGAGAGGTTACTTATATATATATATATATATATATATATATATATATATATATATATATATATATATAATATAATATAATAATATTATTTTAGTAAAAAAGTCTACTTAAATTACATTAAAATAAATAGATTTTAAAACCAATAGCAAAAAATTTTATAAATATATACCCAATTTTGCTTGTCTTTTATTAATTTAATTTTTATTATTTTTGTCCTCACATTTTTAAAAAATATGTAATTTTTATCCAATTCTTATTCTCTTTGTTGAATTCACTCTTTCATTCTAGAAAATTAGTATTTTTAATCTAATCATCTGTATATACTTATTTTGTTATTTCTTTTATTTGGATTATTTTACATTTCAAATTTCTTATAGCATCATGATTAATTTTAGTCTAAGTTTGACGGAATCAAAATAAGAAAATAATATATATATATATATATATATAATATATTATTTTATATAAAATAAAATATATTTTTTATACGATAATTATAATAAATATTTATGTTTATTATAATTAAAATATTTTATTTAATTTTTATATAATATTAATTATTCTATTCACTTTTATTATAATTTTAAAAAATTTATTTTTATATTACATAAATCATTAAATTTATATTTGTGTAATATGTGATTGAAAATTTACATAAGACTTAATAAAATAATTAGTAATATATAAAATTAAATTAAATATTTTAGTTATATTAAATATAAGTATTTATGTAATTATAATTATAATATGAAAAATATTACAAGTATTCTAATTTTATGTTTTTGATATAATTTAAAATATTCTTACATTTTAAAGACTTAACATTAATTTTTTTATTGAAATAAAGTACCTGCAAGATTGGAAGCCACGAAAGTAAAATCTCAATAGATAGAATTCGTTGAAGTATATTTTATTTCTTCCAAAAAAACATAAATTAGCAGACATAATATTACTAAATATTATTATTATTTTAATTATAATTTTTATGGTTGATTTTCTTAACAATTTATTATTTATATTTGCAAGTTATATTTTATTCTTTTAAGTGCATCAATTATTAAAAATAATTATAGGATGATATAATTATTTCTTATAAATATAAAATATACTTTATGTGTTAAAATATTTATTTAAAATCTCAATTATAATATAAATTATATGCTTATAAAATGTATAATATCATTTTAGCGGCATAACAATAAACATTTGTTTTATGTATTGTGTACATTAAGTTATTAGAATATTAATTTTCTTTAGAGTTATATCCATGATTTTGTTTATTTTTCCAAGACAAATTTGTCCAAATTCAAAGTGCAACAATAATCACAATGGCGAGTTGGCGCAAACCAATCAAAACGGGGAAACACACGTCCTTGAAATCCCCGTAATAACGAACCAGACTACCCCGGCGTGCGAACCATTCCTTTTGCAGCAACCGAACCATCCTTCACGCAGGTATGAACCCTAGCACTTCCCAATTTCAGGTCTCTTTTACATTTCTTGTTTACATCTTTTTACTATTGTTTTATTTCATTGCCTTATCCTTTTAATTTCCCCAGCCTTTTTCCTTTCGAAGCCTTGTTTTTGGATTTTTCAGTGCCTGCTAATTGACATGCATGCAATTTTGTACCTTGAGTACGCGGTATTAATTATCATATTAGTTTTTTCTCTTCCTTTTACGAATTTGATTTTCTTAATATCGAATTATTCGTTGCTACTGTGCATTTGTTATATAGGAAAATCATCTTGGCGTAAAGTTGACCTTATTTCATCTTCATATAACGTGAATTTATTTGTTTCCATGATTTTGATGCAGACACTTCTTAGTCATTTTAGGGTCACCGCTTATGCCATATGTTTGGTCACCACCTAAGAAACATGTGACTGTTAATATCACTTAAATATACGATTTATGCCTATTGTTTATGATGCACGTTCTGTGTGCATGTCAGTGCGGTTGTTTTGCAGTTGCTTCTCACAAAAGGTGGCTATTGTCATCGTCATTTTTGTTGTGTCTTTTTATGTTACAATCTAACTTGTGCTTGTGTCCTGTTGTTGTTCTTATTTGCAGTTGTAGTTGACCGTGGAGGGTGCTGACGGTGAGTGTTACGAATTATCACCAGTCTTTCATTTTAGCAAATAATTTATTTGGTTAAGAATTTGTGATATGCAACATATATGATATGATAAGAAGTTAAGGGAGGCACTTGGATTTGCTGCTTGTTATGAAATAAGAGAACGGCGATAGTGTATTGTTATGGGGTTATTGTTGGACATATCTGGGATTGTTTGTTGGTGTAAACTATATATAGGAGCTGGCCAATAGAGAGGATTCTTGATGTAATGCCACACTCTTTTAAGGTCAGGGCAGTGGCTATGTTGGAAGCTGTGCAGGAGATTGCCATTTACATTCATAGGTTTCACAATCTTGACCTTTTTCAGCAGGGGTATACACACTATCTTTTTTTTTTTTCTTTTTTTCTTTCCTGCATAGGTTCCTTGGTTACCTTAATTGACATGCATATTTGTATTATATAGATGGTATCAGATTAAAATTACTATGAGATGGGAGGATGATGAAGATGTATCTTTTGGAATCCCAGCTAGAGTTGTTCAATATGAAGGTAATTTGTCAAAATTATGCTCTATGTTATTATTGCTCACTGTTTGAGGAAACTGACTATGTATCTTATAGTACTGAGGCATATATTCAATTAAAGTTTGCCAATAAATTAACCTGCTGATAAGTCGAGCAATTGTGCCATCAATGCAATCATTTAATTGTGCAGCCAACTCATTGGGAAATATCCTCACCCCAGAAATTACCATGTTATTTACAGCATGATAGTTTCCATATGTAACAAGCTTAATGTTGTATGACATGTATAGGTCAACTTGAGAGGGATCCGATTTCGCAATACATTCAATGTCAACAAGGGCTTAAAGGATTTACTTAAAAATATAAACTGAAATATATTCATTTTTTGAAACAAAATAGAATATGAACCATTTATTTATAAAATACAAAATTATGCAAATATATGCACCTAATTTGGTCACTAGGAAATTAAAATATTTTTCAACTATACAAATCTTAACTAGATATTACATACTCTTTACAATAATATCTTACAACAACAATAAAAAGAAAGTAAATCTCAACACTCCCTATTAAGTTGGTGTATATAAATCTCATATGCCCAACTTGACAAGACATTTCTCAACAATTCTACAATTTTTTTTTCTTCCAACTTTTCCTTGATAAAGGATCTTTCTAATTCAACATGTTTTGTTTTATCATATTGTACTGGATTATGAGCAATATCACAAACAACTTTATTGTCACAATATAATTTAATAGGTTGTGTGGATGGGTATCCAAGATCTTGCAAGAGAAAACTTAGCCATAAACCTTCAAAAATTTCTAGTGCCAAACTTCTAAATTTAACTTTTGCACTTGAGTGAGAGACCACACTTTGCTTTTTTGCTTTTCCATGTAATAAGATTACCATGGACAAATATAAAGTAGTCTAATGTTGATCATCTATCTTCCAATGATGCAGCCAAATCAGTATCAATATATACATCGATTTGTTGATAATTTGTACTTTTGGTAAACAATAATCATTTTCCAGGTGTTGACTTTATATATCTTAAAATGTGCATGATTGCATTGATAGGTTGCTCTCCAGGATTATGCATAAATTGGCCAACAATACTTAATACTTAATGCGTAGCTAGATCTGGTCTTGTGTGTACTAAGTACATTAATCTCATTACAAGTCTTTGATATCTCAATTTATTAACTAGGGTTTGATCTAATGTAATAAATAATTTCAAACTTTCTTTTATTGGTGTTCGTTGGTTGGCAAGTTAACATACATGTTTCTTGCAACAAGTCTAAGGCATATTTTATTTGAGAGAAAAAAATTCCTTTCTTGGATCTAGATACTTTAATCCCAAGAAAATATTGTAAGGAACCAAGATCTTTCATTTTAAACTCCTTTGATAAATACTCTTGTAATGCTTTACTTTCTTCTTGATCATTCCTGTAACAATTATATCATCTACATATATAATAAGTACAATTATCTTACCTTATTTCTTCAAGAATAAAGTGTGATCTGAATTATTTTGATGATATCTAAATGTCATAGATTATGTAAACCTTTCAAACCATGCTCGTAGGGATTTTTTCAACCCATGCAGAGCTTTTTCCAATTTGCATGCCTTTCTTTTGTATTTTTCATGTACCATGCTATCTCGGGGGAGTTCCATGTATACTTATTCATTTAATTCCCCATGTAAAAATGTATTCTTTACATCAAATTGCTTCAATGGTCAATCCAGATTTTTACTGCTAAAAATAATAATAGTGAAATGATATTAATTTTTATTACAGGAGCAAGCAAATGTTTCTGTGTAATCAACCTCATACGTTTGGGTATATATATTAATTTTTATTGGAACTACTCTTCATGTTTTTCTGTGTGCACTATATTTCTTCATATGAAAACTTTTGCCGAAGCTATTTTGTATGTGTTGGATCAATGGTAATTTATGTGGTAGAAAATTTTCTGATTTGCAGCTCATGATCTGCGTCCTAACAATATATATGGTATTTGGAGGATTGATGATACCGACAACAGTTTCTCAACACAACCCTTTCGGATAAAATATGCTAGGCAGGACATTCATTTATGTATGATGATCTCATTCAACTTACCTCTTTGTAGATTTAAGGTGATGATGATCTATCTCACTTTCTTCTCTCATTTATTTCCTTCTCTTTGTTTTTAGACATAGCATTTATGAATAGATTATTCCCTGATATTCAAGCAGATTATTCTTGATATTTAGGCAGATTATCCTCTAAGACTCAGGCCTAGCTTAGTGCACAAAATTAATCCCATGTTGCTATTTTTACTTCCACATTTTATCAATTTAAAATAAGTGAAAATGTTCACTTTTTTCACATGGTATCAAAGCTATTCTAGATCCATTAAAAGGATCACCTACCATATTATCCATACACAAAGCCCGATGGTGCTAGGTTTGAGGTGTATTGTGAAAAATCCTAATCCCACATTGACAAGAAGTAGAGTTTGAAAAGAGCATATAAGTGAGGGGAAAATCTCACTTCAAACGATGATTTTGTGATGTCAAATTAGGTCTAAACTCAAATTTTAAGATAGTATTAGAGGTTGATTTGACCTTTCTATAGTCCTTCTCACCATCCCAATCATGGAAGAAGAACTATTAGAAGGTTCGCCTCGCCTGTGATTGAAATTGGTACTATTCTTAGCATCTCAATTGAAGGATTTGCACTTCGTATCATTGGACAAAACTTGAATGGCCAGAGCTACATCCAATGGTAGAAATGAATCCAAATCTTCCTTCAAGGAAAAGGATAGCAAGGCTACATTTGTGGGAAATCAACAAAGTCAAGGCCAGTTAATTTCTTGCATACTTAAAACACTAGCAAATGGATACAAAATCATGGATCATAGACTTAGAAGCATCGAATCGTATTATTGGTGACATAACTGTCTTTGATAATTATTCTCCTTGTCACGACAAATCTATAGTTTAATTTGCAGATGGTACTCTCTTAAGGGTTCTTGATAAAGGTTTAATGATTATTTCAAAGAATATTTGTTATTAAGGATGTAAGAAAATGAGAAGTTAGTTAGATATAAATAGGGGAAGAATGATAGACATGGGGAGATGTTCATTTGTAAATCGAGTCTTAGCTCTTTTTGAATGGAGAAATTCTGTGTATGGAAACCCATGGAGAAAAGAAAATGTTGTTCTATTTCTTATTTGTTTCTTCCTATTTAATAAATATTTTTCTTTTTTCTTTCTCTTTATAATTTTTGGTTCATAACAAATTTGTTTGACTTGCTAGATTCAAGTTACACAATGGAGAGTAGATTGAGTGCTTTGAAGCATTAGGCCAACAAACACGGGAAAATGGCTAGATTTTAAAACACACATGGTTTTTCAAAAGGAGAGTTTGTTGGACTTGACGCAAATCGATGAATTACTTATTGAATTCAAGAAAGGAAAGACGTTATGGTGAAAACTTGGTCAACAAGCATGAGAAATTGGAAAAACCATACCCTTTTTGGAGAAGAAACCAAAAATGGTGAAGCAATGATTGAGAAAGTCATGATGGAGGAAGAGATTGATCATTCTTAGGACTCCATTCCAAGAATTCTAGTTACATTCTCCTTAATAACTAGCTTTTGATGGTAGGTTCCCAAAATGCTTGAATACTTAAATATTCCATTGAGCATCGCATGCTACTCAATATGGAACTCAAGTACCCTATAATACCCAAGTCCCTATAATACCCAAGTCCCTATACCAACACTACCTAAGTGTCCATATCTTGACGAATTTCACTCTACAACAATTAACCGAATGACATTTCAGTCAACTCCCTTGTTGGTTAGAATGCTCTGTGAGATACCAACACCAACTCTAATACCATAAGCACTTGGGTAACATACCCCCAAAAGCTAGCCATTAAGAGGGGAGAACTAAACACTTAAATATTCCACTGAACATCCCATACTACTCAATGTGGGACTTAGGCACCTAATAGTATCCTAATCCCTGTCATATTCCTATGGATTCAAAACTTAAATTCGGTTATGCAGATGATTGTGCAATAGTTGATAAGGACTTGTATCAAGTTGGATTGGAAAATTAATATACCTTATCTCACACAAGGCCAAATATAGTATTTGTTATAACTTATAAATTTGATTGCCCAATTTTTATTTTGTCTGAATGATGTCCACTTACAAGTCACTTAAAGAATTTTCCAATACATCAAGGGTTACTAGGAAGAGGAATTTTATATAACAGAAATTTGAACATGACTGTTGAAGTAAGCTTCCAAGAGATGGAATTTTACAATCAACACACATGTTGACTATGCAGGGTCGATAACTAATAGGAGACACATTACTGGATATTGCACAATCTTTTGGAGGAAATTTAATAATTTGGGAAAATAAAAAACAGAATATTGTGGCTCAATCAAGGCTTTATTCTGAAAGGCATTTATATATAAAAAAAAAAAATGGGTTGAAAATCATTTACAAGACTTGATGGTTAAATGGAATGGAGCTCTGACTCTCAACGTGATAATTAGTCAGCCAACAATATAGCCTATAATTCTATTTAGCATGGTTCAACAAAGCAATGGGAGTGGATAGGCATTTTGTCGAGGAAAAGCTTGATTGATGATTATACTCCATGTGTTCCTTTTATAAGGTCAAAATGCAGAAGTTCTTGCCAAAGGATTGTGTAGTTCAACTTTGAAAGAATTATAATTATAAGTGAGCTGGAAATGAAAAATATTTATTCTCTTGCTTGATGAGGAGTGTTGAAAATATTAACATTTATTGTTAAGTTCTCTTCCAAGTAGCTTAGTTGTTGTGTTAATCTGACTTCAATATATCTTATGAATGTCTTCAAAGTAGCAATAGACTATTGTTTAAATAGACCACTTAGCTGTGTGGTTTACTCATTCAACCAAATGCTGAAAACAGAATTTCCCTTCTCACAAATCATATAACACGAAAAAAGACTGTATCTTCTTTTTAATCTCTTCAAATATGTGTGTATACATGTTTGTTTGTGGGTGTATAATGACATTCTCAAACCCAAAACTCAATCCAAACCACAGGCTAAACAACCCAAAACAGACAATCATCACAAAGCTGGCTTCCAAATTAAAAAAAAAAAGTGATCAGTTGTAATTCATTATTGTGCTGAAGTTGCATACTCTATGGACCGAGGCTGAACAACACTGTGCCATAGGAAGGAAAGGAGAATGTTTGAATGAATAGGATAACTGAATTAGGTGTGACTTTATGTGAAATTAGTTTTCAGTTCTGTACAACTTTTGCATAAGTGCGTACCAATTAGTATTAACAATGTAAATAAAAATCATTTTTGTCTTTATCTAACAAGTTTTATTATTGTTAATTCATGGCATGGTATTGAGCTATATGGTTAGAGTATGTCTTCAGTTTGATCCTCATCACCCTTATTCTCCTACTAAAAAAGTTAAATTTAAGCACAAGGTAGTTGGGCTTTTGCATTATGCATTCTTTTTCCCGAGGAACTCTTTGTGATGGTTCATCTTAGAGATGTCGAATAGAACCATTCATGTGTCTTCAACTAAAAGTTTATACTTTTTGGACTAATGGTTCATTAGGAGAAATTTTTGGTGTATTTTATTTTATTAACCATGCACTAATATATCTTTATTGGAGTTTGAGAATTGAGACTTCTGGAAATGCTAGCATGATTTATAAGTCTGAACAGTGTGATCCTATCAGATCATGTTCTGATGCGGGAGCAGGATCGCTATAGCTGAAGGCACACAGAGCTGTCCCCTTATACAATTAAGAGTGCAATTTTGACTACCTTGCTCCTTAATTTAATACTTAACTAATGTAGCTGTGTTTTGTGGTTCTTAATTGCAGGTTTTACCTACTACAGCTGTAATTTTAAAGTTTGAGCTTATGTATGCTCCCACATTCGAAAATGGGTAAGTGATTCACTGGGTTATTAGTATGGTGCCAAAGCAGTGTTATGCTTCTTTTATTTCTGTACACTGACTGGAGTGCACCATCTACAGGGCTGACTTGCAAGCTTCTCTGGACGCTTACCCAGCTGCTGTCCATGAATTTCGAATTCCTCCTAAAGCTCTTCTAGGATTGCATTCATATTGTCCTGTACATTTTGATGCTTTACATGCTGTGCTGGTTGATGTCAGTGTACATGTAACTTTACTGAAAGCTGCCTCTCACCAATCCGCATCGAAGGTACCCAGGTTTGTCAAATTATCTAAATTTCAGTATGAATCATTAAGACCTTCATTTAAAATTTCTGTTTGTTTTGACAAGTTTACTTAAGAAAGTGTTTAAATGGAAGTTTTCTATGTATGTTTTATTACATTGATTAACTTTTTCACATGCTTTTTTTCAGCTTTTTTCGCAATGCTGAATCTGTTGCTTATAGAAGTGTCGAGTCACTGAACCAAGTATGTTCTAAACATTGGATGTCTCTGTTTTGAGATCACTGTTGAAGTGCTGATCAATTTCCTATTGTTCAAAATACTTATTGCTAAACTATCATCTCGTTCATTTATTCATTGGGCTTCTTGAAAACTGGCATGTTACTCGGTGCTTAATCATATTATTTGTGCCATCCTTATCTCCATAATTGTGTCCAACTTTGCATAGTTAAAGGTGAAAAGTTATTCTTTGTATATATTTCACTTTTGTCTCCCATTAATTTCTAATTTCAATCCATAGGATTATAAATTGGCTTGCTATTTGTCAAACTTGTCTCCTCCAACATATCAAGAGCTTATTTTCTTTGTGAAATAAAAACACCTATGATTGAGCTACTTCAATACCAATAAAATATTTCTGATAGTCAAGGTTTTTTGGTCTAAAAATAGTTGAATAAGTGCTTTTTTAATTGAGTGATCCTAGTGGAATCATTTCTTGTAATTACTATATCTCCAAGTTGGCATGCATTGCTTTTTGGGCATTAACTGAATTCTTTGTGACTAACCAGGGCTTGGGTGGCGATGCCTCAGTAAAGTTGAAAAATGTCATGCTTATTAAAGCATTATTAAAAGCTCATGATTTATTAATTGAAGAACTACAAAAACTTAGCAAAGCAGTTGGTCAAGCTATTGATATTTCAGAGTTTCCGTCAAAAAGGAACAGTATGAAATTAATAAATTCTATTCCGCAAGCTAATCAGTTTACGGCTGAAGTTGAAATTTCATGTCTACAGCCACAAAATGGTCTCGAGGTTCATAATCTTTATCTGGAAAAGTATTGCTGCTTTGCTTTTGCTTTTCACTCTTTACGATTTTATTATTTAGATGGTGGTCTCTTTATATACAGGGAGTAAATCAAGTTCTAGCTTTCGAGAATGCTGAAAAGCTTCGTACCTTGTCAAAGATAGAGCTGTTGAACTGTTATCATTCAGTGGGAAATCAATTGTTGTATTTATGGAACATATTTCTGAAGTTCCACAGGTTTGCTTTTTTAAAAGCTCTGATCCAAATGTTTGGTTTGTGTTTACGCACCTTCTAGTAAGCAAGCATATCTGCCCATTTGGTCACAAATGGAACATTTTCTAGGGGCAGATAAATGACCTCATTAGCTTCTGTTCCCCTCGTCCAGTCTTTTTATACTTTGTTTCAGATGATATTTTTGGCATAAATATAGCGTGAGAATGCACCAGTTAACTGTGACAAGTATAGTTAGTGGCCTTTTTCATTGCCCATGCATGAGCAATAATCATGAAACATTACCTTGATCAATAACTATAACATTTTTGTCTCTAGGGATAACAAAACAAAGATTCTAGAAATCTTGCGTGATACATGGGCTAAGGATCGAAAAGCTGAATGGTCAATATGGATGGTGTACTCTAAGGTTGAGATGCCGCATCATTATATAAATAGTGAGTTTGATGAGTATTCCCATCGCGCAGTACACAGAAGAGTCTCCAGTTTGTGGAAGCTACCTGATGAGGTAGGTACTTTACTCTTCCTTCATACCTAGAAAGTAGCTTTGTAATGAACTTTGCAAAAATAATTTTAGTGCAAATAACTAAAAGCATAATTTTTTTTGGCTTCAAATTTTACAGCCTCATCAGACTGCTGCTACCAGGGCTGAACTTCATCGAAGAAGCATTTCACAGATGAGGGTAATGATCAACTCATGAACCACTGGGCCCTCTTTTTCATTTACATATGGCCTATTAATGGATTCCATCTTTGCAGATTAACAACCGGTCAATTCAAGACATGCACATATTTGGAGATCCTTCACACATACCAATTGTGATTGTTGAACGTGTGATGAATGCCCCTCGTCGGACTATCAGTAATAATTCATACTTGACAAATGTAGGACTTGTTAACTCACATAGCTTTCAAACTGGACTCAACTTGGATTCTGCTGACAAGATATCTGCTTCACAAAGTAGTTCTCGTGTGTTGAAGATTGTTGTCTTTGTGCATGGGTTTCAGGCAAGTCTTACATTTGGCCCCTTTAGTAGGAAAGCAATACTGTGTTTTCTATGTTGTCTTAGTTTGTTGGATTGTCCAACTTGTTTTACAGACATTGTATCAAGGAAAAACGAATCAATGGGTCACTGTCTTTGAAAAAGCTAGCAAACCAAAAGCCCTAACTTAATTGTAAAGGGTTCGTGGGCATAATAATGAAAGTATTGTTGAGATTTGTCTAGAGTAGATTACCTATATCCTTGTTTACTACCTTCCAAATTTCCTTGTGTAATAGGATTTTATCTCCTGTAATATTTTATTTAGATTGGTAAATTTGTTGTGCATTATCTCTCTCATCCCTGAATGATAGGAATTCAACTGTGCAGTGATTATAATATCAGATCTGAAGCTATGAGCTAATCTCTCAAGCAATTCAGTCATAATATAAAATTTCTCAAGTAAAACATAGAAGGTCTTGGAGGATCAACTTTGGCCTCTTTGGTTGAACAAGCTATTAAATTGCAAATCCTATCTCACCTAAATCTCTGGTTTACAATTTTAGTTGGGTCAAAAGAGCCACCGAAAGCCATGGCAAGTTGCAGTAAAGGCCACATGCATCAAAAAACAGTACTTGAAAATGTTGTTTGGAAATTGGGCCCACAAAACTGTTTGGGACATTGGACTGAAATTGTGTCTGAATACAGAGATGAAAGTTTATATAGGCTTATTAAATTGATTATACATAAATAGAGGATATTTTGTTTCCTATAAATTTTGTTACAATTATTCTGCTACCTATTGGCAGTACTCCTCTGCTCATATAAGTATATGGGTTCTATAAGAGGTTTACAAACTTTTTGTACCTTTAATATCATAATTCTTGACAAATTTAATATATACATTGAACTTTAGAAATTTGAAACAATACACAGGCAAACAGAAACCCATTAGTTACTGGTAACACCTAAATTGACACAATTACATTGTCTATTCAAGATATAAAGATTCAACAAAGTTTTATGTTGATTGTAAAATTCCTAGGACAACCATGCCCTTTTTTGTCTAAGACTTGGGATTGGCTATGCAAACAATAGCACCATAGTATAACATTGGCAGATTTACTGTGTGTGTATATTTTCATTGTTGAAAGATGATTGAATGCTTATTCTTCATCACTTGTTTTAGGGGCATCATTTGGATCTACGGCTTATTCGAAATCAATGGCTTTTGTTAGACCCCAAGGTAGAATTTCTTATGTCAGAGACTAATGAGGATAAAACTTCAGGAGACTTCAGAGAAATGGGTCAGCGGCTAGCTAAGGAAGTTGTTTCTTTTGTTAAAAAGAAAATGGATAAAGCTGCAAAATATGGGAATTTAGGAGATATTAAACTAAGTTTTGTTGGACATTCTATTGGTAACCTCATTATAAGAACAGCACTAGCAGGTGGGTCAAAATTTTAGAATTGCTTGTGTTCATATGTTCGAAATTAGGAACTAATTTTTGTCTTGAATTTGCAGAGAGCAAGATGGAGCCATTTCTCAGATATCTACATACATATGTCTCAGTATCTGGTCCACACTTGGGGTATCTTTACAGTTCAAACTCTTTGTTTAATTCTGGATTGTGGCTTTTGAAGAAACTGAAAGGCACACAGTGTATTCATCAACTAACCTTCACAGATGATCAGGATATTCAAAATACATTCCTCTATAAACTATGTAAGGTAAAACAGTGTTCTACAAAGGCTAAAATCAATTAACACAAGCATAAGCTTGAAGTCTATTCTCTTGAATAACTTAATTTGATATGTGGTTGTTAGTTGTTACCAACATCAATGTTATATTATAAGCATTTATTATGTTAAATCTTACATGGTTATTTGAATATGAAATCCAAGATATACGAGCACGTGATGTTTTCTTTTGTTTGAAAATGACAAGTAACATTGATGTGATTTTAAATATATGGTTTTGATCAGCATAGTGACTTCTACTAAACCCAATGTTATTTTTCTTTGAAAATATATCCTTATTGCTTCGAGAGTACATTATATGTACCATCTTTTGCATTTTCCATGGTAATTAACATTATAAATTTGTCAGTACATAACCGTCAACTTTCACTTTGGCAACCAGGATGACATTGTTTTTGTACACTGTTCAGAAGTGAATGAGTTAATGTCCATTGGCTATTTTTTTAACAAATAATTCTACCAAAGAATTGATGGAAATTATTGGTTGGAAAATATGAGCAGGGGTGGTAGTGAAGATGCATTTAATAAAATATGGATTGAAGTGACTTAGACAATGTTCAAATTTTGTGTGTTCTAAATTGAAAGTTTGGAATGTCTTTGCAAAAGTCCCAAAGCTGAAGAGGGGCATACTTTTTCCTCTAAGGCGTGGATCATTCATTTATTATGTGTAGTTTAATTAATTAGATGATGAAGTTCTAATATTTCTCTTTCTTCTTTTTCAGAAAAAGACCTTCGATCATTTTAGGCATATAATCTTGCTATCTTCCCCTCAGGTTTTCCCTTGTCTTCTGACTCTTGAAATCATTTGCAGGCATGCCTTTTACAATCACTTCTTAACAGTGAATATATTACTTGCATTTTTGGTATAATATCGGTATTGTAAATTGGACTAGATAAGATAGATGGGCTCTGTCACATAATAAATATTACGTGTCTCATAATGGTGCATCTGATATGAATCCAAATGGCAAACAAGCAATGTTTCTGGATTTTTCATTTTTATTAGAACTATATACTGGCAGGTGAACTAGGCTATATTCAGAAGTAGTAAGATTTTGAAATGTTTGGGAATATTTTATCTTTCCTAATTGAGATCAAATGAAATACTAAGGGGTGGTTTGGTTTCTGAAAATGTTTTTTGCTTTCACTTTGATTGGAAAATGTTTACTTTATTTTCACCTTTTTATTTTATTTTATTTTGAAGATAACAAGTCTGTCAACAAAAAATAAAGTGGAAAAAAGATTGATTTTTTTGTAATTAAAAGTAACAACTATAAATAAATAAATAAAATATTTACTTAAAGTAAAAAGACCTGAAGATATTTAAGGAACGTATGTATGTGATAAGAAACTATTTCTAAGTTAAGGAAATCTTCTTTCCCTTTCTGGGTTTTTCTTTTCCCATCCCTATGGCCTATTCTTGCTTTTACTTGGATTTTAATTGGTTTGATATAATAACTTATTTTTTTTCAGGATGGTTATGTGCCTTATCATTCTGCTAGAATTGAGTCATGCTTGGCTGCTTCACATGACTATTCAAAGAAGGGTAGAGTGTTCCTAGAGATGCTTAATGATTGTTTGGACCAAATTCGTGCCAATCCCTCCGAATGCCGGGTTTTCATGCGTTGTGATGTCAATTTCGATGCTACTTCCTACGGCAAGAATTTTAACTCATTAATTGGAAGGGCTGCTCATATTGAGTTTCTGGAGTCTGACATTTTTGCAAGGTTCATAATGTGGTCATTTCCGGAGTTATTTCAGTAGAGATTCCTATAAGCCTTGTTTGCATTCATGACCAATCCGTCTGGCATAAGCTTCATCCCATTTATTAAGCATCAGGGCACCAGTCGTGGCCAGATTTCAGTCACAACTTTACTCAGAATGATCTTCGTGGTATGTGTAAGTAAATTGGCTGGAGGATATAGACATCTAAGCTGCATATTCAGTCTGCTTCAAGATGTTTATTTGTAACACTTGTACACATAGCTTTAGGAACACTTCCTAGTATAGCCATGTAATTATTTCAGGTTAGGCATATGACTACTAATGTCAATGTTTTATAATGTTATATCCGAAGCGATTAACCTACTGAGGAAATGCATTCATCACGCATCGGAACGCAATAACAAAATTAGGCATAAATTATCTACTATGAAATTGGTATATTTTAAATTTTTAAAAACTGAATTCACACTAAAGTTAATTTGGTTTTCTTTTTTGTCTTGAAAGGTATAAAACAATCCAACTTATTCATCATTGCTTTGTTAATAAGGTGTGCAATCTAGGCTCCTTTACGTTTAAAACAGGAGTTCATGTTGAATAAAAAGACTGAATTCACATATATCCTATCGTTTATGAAAGCGGTTGTGTTCAAACTTAATTTTAAATTATTCTTGAGAAATTCGGAATGTCGTGGAAAGATTGCACCTCTTATGCTAGTTGTACCAGATGTCTAAGCAATCTCTTTTTGCTGCATCGTATTTTCTTAGGTGCTCGCCATAATCTCGTATTATTGTACACCTTTTTTGTTAAGCTGTAATAGAAGCTCGCAACAAGAAAACTGTATTGTTGGATGATTTGTTAGTTCATCGTGAAATTCATCTTAGGATAGATAAGAAAACTCAAAAGGCTCAATAAACGATGAGATCTCTCTCGTCCAAAAGGTTTGAGATGTTGAAGAAAAAAGGTAAATACTATCCTAGAAGAAAGGATTATTTTAAGTGTAAAGTATCAGTTGTTGCGATTTGAACCTTGCAGTCTAATGAGGAAATGAAGGATGAGTATCCACGAGACTAAATTAGCCTGCATCAAGTAAAATACAAAGCTAGGCAGGCAAATGAAGGATGAGTTTTTGAAAAATAAAAATAAAAAAGTTGTGTATATAGGAAGGAAGACTTAGATGACAACAATCTAACTAGAATGTAGGAAATGAAAGTCAACATATGTCTTATGATTACACATATGAAACTTGTTGAGGTAAATATAATCGTAAAATTAGGTCTAATTCATCTTAGATTCGTAGAGATGTCATACAAAAGCGAAATGCCACTATATTCATTACACTCCAAATAATACCCTTGAGTTTCTTTCAATTTTATAGAATCACTTTAAGATTTATCAGAAATAAATAGAACCTAAATGAATTGTATTGTATTAAATGTTGACCTATTTAGTTCAAATCATTTTGTCAACTTCATTCCTTTACTAGATATCACTATCTTAACTCAAGGTTGAATGTACTATGTAGCCCTTGAGTTCCAAACTCCCTGATTTATTTTATTGTCTAGTAGAATAATAGCTAACCAAATTCTACAGAAACACCTTTTTTGTTGCTTATTATATTCTTCCGTTTAGGTTGTGTTCAATTATCCATGAAGAAGCCGTTCAATTATACATGAAGAAGCCATTGCGAACGTATTATAAGAAAAGTCGTTAGGCCAAAAATTTATCAAATTCTATTCAAACGGCAAATTCGCTGTTCTTTCCTAACTATTACACCAAACTTGGTCCTTATTTTTGTCTTTTGGCCATAACCACCACCACTAATTCTGTTAAACCCAATTAGCACATTCAGGGATATTCTGATCATTAACGAAAATGATTGTCAGTAATGACAGAGGCAGAATAAAGTATAAATAACTATATTAAACAACTAAGAGTTACAAGTCTCATACATTCTGGGCCTAGATTTAGTTTCTACGTGCCCATAACAATTACTAGCAATTACTAGTAATTCATAAAGTATGAAAAAATAAATGACATGACATAATTAGATGCATAAACTCTTAAGTCAGATTCAGGTTAGCTCTCGGACAATAAAAAATTACATGTTGAATATATGGAAGCAGCAGCTGCATTCACCGCTAACTCTTTCTCCGAGCTATTTAACGTCGATGCCCTACACATTATAGAATATCAATATTGTCAAACTTCTGACCGTTATTGTAGAAATAAGATTTCTTTTATATTGGTATAATCCATGTCTAAGGTAAATGGGAACAAAAATACAAGCTGTAAATGGCTTAATGCTTCTAAACTTCACACAGATAGTATGCACAAAAACACTCAAAATGCATGTTTCAAATACAAACACAGGTTAACTTTTCCAAATCAAATATATGATTGCCAACAAATTCAAGGCAAGCGAAATTAAACATTGGGGGTGAAAGTATATTGACGCTCTTTCCAAAGAAGAAAAAAGATTCAAACAGAACCACACCTCAGGGAAAAAAGACAAGGAAAACCTAGTTATTTTACTAACTGACAAATTAACACCAATAGTAGAGTTATTAACACCAACTAGAAAGTGGTAATTTTCACAAGAACAAAAGTTCGTAAGTAACCACGAGAGGGAACAGAATTGGTAATCTTTCTCGAAAATGCATAAAGTTGTTTCAGTTCAATGGCCAAAAAAGCCATTACATGCAAACATTTATCAGCTTGCTTAAAGAATTCTTAATCACATTACGATTCATGACACTAAGAGAAGGAAAGCAATTAATTGTTTAACCATCTCCCCATATAGTAATGCGGCAATTCATTACATAAACACGTGATTAAATTATAGCATCACAAGCTATATAAATTAAATATAGCTTCTAAAGATCGCCACCCTCTTTGGCAAAATGTGGGTTCTCTCCCAAAATTCTAAATACAGATAAAACCCAAATTGCAAAATTATCTTCATGTTTTTCTAGTTTAAAGAGACAAACCTAACCAAGACATTGATAGAACATAATCTTATGACAGGTTTTTCACGCACTTACCTGGAGTTGTTTTCAGAATTTCCCAGTTGTTGTAAACCAAAAGCCGCACTCCAGTTTACATGTTGAATGCCCTGGTCACACAGCAATTGCTTTTCTTTCACTTGATTCAACCAACATTCCTGAAATCATCAAGAAAAGTTCAGATTTGGATGAAGGAAAGAGCACAAACTTCTTTCTCAGTAACAAATGTGTTGGCAAAATCCTAATCAATGGTTTATGAGTAGCCACTATTATAGATAGGGTGGTTGTCCTAGGTTTGTATCAAGCTAAAAAAACTAGCAGTGATCAATTGTAAAAGTACCTTCTTCCACCAAAATTTTAGTCTCTCCAATTCTCTAATATTCCCATCACCACTAAAACTTCATTCCAACAAGGTATTCCTCCAAAATTTTAGTCTCTCTCATTCTCAAATATTCTCTTCACTACTAAAACCTCATTCCAACAAGGTATTTACAACGGTCATGTCTAGTATCTATCATTACTTGAAAGGATGAGACAATGTCATTGAAAATCTATTCTAACTAAGCCAGATCCTAATTACGGGTGATCAAAACCCATTACCCTTTTAAACCAAATACAAAAAAAAGCTTGTCAGACAGGTTCTGATGGGTGAAAAAGGGTTATAGATGGATTATAACAAATTGGTGCAGATAGAAAAAATAAATATCATTGCAATGCGCACCCAACCATATAATAAATCTAACTATTCATTTTATAACTTTTATTCTAAAAAGAATCTCAATCGTCCATTAAAAATATAAATGTCTACACACTTTATAAAGTTAAATTTCTCTCTCTATTGGTATTTGACATTGGCAGACATGGGATAGTACAACATTAATTGTTGTTTCTATCACTTCATTTCCCTATGGGTTATAGTGCAGGTGGTGAAATAGTATGAATGCCCATGTAAGTGTTGTGGGTGAGCATTGAACTTTGGAAAAAAAATCATCTCTCTCCACCAAGAAAAGTTGGGCCAACATTTTAGAAGTTTTCTACAAATCTATATTTTTTCTTTTCCAAAGACGACTCTTCTCTCATTCTTCAATTTCTTTTCCTTTTTTATATTTCCGAGTACAAGAACTAAGAATATTCTTCTCCCTTTTCCAGACCATATGTGTAGCCCTGTCAAACATAGAGTTTACCTTCGATATCTCATATCACCTTTTCCTAAGGGTGGACATGCATTGGATTATACTTAAATCCAAAAAATGGATTTGGATATAAATTCAATCCATTAAAAAGGAATTAAAATAGTGGTTTGGGTTGGTGTGATTACGGATTGGTTTTGATCATTTGGATTTTTGAACACCTCTACCTTTTCTAATTGTGTCAGGTTTCATATTACTGTGAAAGACCATCTATAACATTCTTTCAGTATTCCTTTCTCTCGTGCATGATCCCTTTTCAAACTGAAACAATCCACTTGTATACCCGCCATCTAATTATCCAATACCCAACAAAACCAAAGCTTCAAAAGGTTGCTTGCAGTCATCACAGATTTTAAACGGATCAAACATTATTAGTTTGAACTCGTTCATAACCAAGCACTACTACCCCTAATTCTAAGCATTGCACTTATGGTCTTGAGATAAAATATAATTAAGCAAGTCCACAACTAGAATTATGGCTGCATTTGTTGCATTACCAACAAATTTTCAATAATAGTAACACTGTAACTGACAAGTTAAAACTATGACTTTTGCATTCTAAATTCCTGCAAAAATGGTTGACTGTTCTTAAAAGCATTATTAAAGGGTAGTTAGTTTTGTATCAAAGAAATCCTGATTGCAACATCACCTTTCTCGACAAGCAAAGAGAACCATGCTTGCAGTAGCAAATATGACTCTACAGATGCCTGCTGCAACATATTCTTGGCAGGTTTGGAGGCTAGGTTTGACGATTTGTTGGTGGTTATGGTTAAAGTGGAAAAGAAAATTTGAAAGAAATCACAATTTGCTATCCGGCTAGTCATTTGCAGTCCATGGTAGAGATAAGGCTCCTTTTTGCTGTCTATTTGGAACTGCTGAAAATCATCATATACTTGTATTTATTGCAATAATAGTAGATTATAGGCTTGTAAAATCTTATTTAGAGGAGACAAAATATCCTCTCTTTTGGTACAATAAACCTATACACATTTATTGTGTATTAAAACACACAATTCTAACCAAATCATGCCTTTACTTTCCCTCTTTTAGTCAAAGCTTATTATTGTCCACCATGCCATCCACAAGTTTCCCTTACTACCATACCTCTTGGATCATCTTCAACAGTTCTACATTGCACCATTGACAATATCACCATTGGGTATATGGTTTTGAGTATTTTGCCATGTTTGTGGACATTTTTTATGAAATGTATGTGTGTATCGTTTTCCCTCTTTGAGAAGCTTTATCATGAAATAAAAACCTTATCCCAATATAATCTCTTCATGGTTAGTGATAATACATGCAATAGTTATCTCATCAATTAGAACAATTTATGGCATCCAAAGGCATTATTTATCAAGTATCCACTATCCACAAATCTAAGTAGAGCGCATAAGCCCAAGAACATGCATCACATTATTCAAACTCTTCTCTTCAATAGAAAAATTCCCTCGCTTTTAGGGCAATGTATTCATGGCTTGTAACCTCATTAATCATTATTAAAATAAATTTGGACTTAACTCAATCTTACAAAACCAACTTATAAGATGAGGTTTGCCTACACTGATATAACATAATTTTGCCTTACCTCCAATTGATGTGAGATCTCCGAGACACACCCCTCATGCCGAAGATTAGACATCTTGGGAGAGATGACTAAATATTTGTAGGTGGTCCAATAGTGATCTAATAGCGAGTGGCATAATAGAATCAACAAACCTCATTTGGATAGACTTTGATATTATATTAGAAAGTGAATTAGTCTAACTCATCCTTATAAAACCGACTTATAAAATAATGTTTGCATCCACTTATATACTATAATTCGGTCATATATAGTCGATGTGGAATCTCCAACAAGTTCCTCATACACCACTTCATTTTCTTCCTCCTCATGTCTTCAGCTCATTCTTTGTTTACAATTGGACACTACGCCTTGACAAACTCTTAACACAGTTCATTAAATTTGTCTTCCTATGTTATCATTGGTCACAAGAAGGTTATCACTCCTTATCACCTATGCCCTTCACTAGTATTTCATTTCCACTAATGTCTCATCTTGAGACTTCTCACTCTTCTCATGACATGTGATCTTCTTTCACATTTAGTACCCCTACTCTTGTTCCTCTTCCATCTGTTTCTCAAGATAACCCTATGGTCCACCATGATGTTTAATCAATAGTACAACCTCTTTTGTCATATCAACAATGTCAAAGCTTTACGAGCATTCCTGCACAAGTCGCTACAACAATTCATGACTACATAGTAAAGGTCATACAAGACTAACTTTTTACACCTTTTGAACTAGATCCAAGCCTACCCACTATCACTCATTGGCCATAACCTGAGTTGTTAATGCGTACAGCAGTCATATTGGATAATAAAAAGTAAAAAGCTAGTGGACACTTCACAAACTAGTGATCAACTTATATAAGGCCATTAGTCAAACCAGTGAGTCACCTGTTAAACTATGTAAAGTACTATATATTAATTATATATATAAAAAACTAAAAATGAGAAAGTCAACCTATAAATTTCACACTTTAATTATGAAAAAAATCAAAATTATAGCTAACAATTACCCAAAAAACCATAAAACAATTTAACATTTCACAAGTTTAATATTTAAATTCAAGACCATAACTATAAAATGAATGCCTAAATATAGAAACAAAAAATATATATCATAATATGATAGTAAAAGTGAAAGATAAATTAATTAAAAAAGCAATTAAGAAAGAAAAACCATATATGGTTAGCTATTTTCAAATTAGAAAGAAAAATTAATAAAGATTTGCTGCACTAGTGAAAAACCATATATGGTTAAACATAAGTCGGTCTCAGTTGGCTATTTTCAAATTAGAAAGAGAAACTAACAAAGATTTGCTGCACTTGATTGATAAACATATAATTACAGATACAATGCTAACTTGCTAACCAAGAAAGAGAGCAATTTAATGAGTACATTACTTTGATGTCACTTACCACCAAACAAGAAACTTGCTGGTATCTTAAACTAAATCACAATAAAAAGGTCAAAGGCTCTAAGCTGAAGAGAGATAATCAACGGCAGTAGTTCTAATTCTGACTCTAATAGCTCAAAATTAAAATACTTACACCCCACTCTCTAAAATATAAAATAAAATAAAATAAAAACAAATTTATTTTATAGCAAAGAAGCAAGTCAATTTATAGTATGCATGTAGTTATCTGCAGGTAAACTGCAAAGCCTCCCTTTGCAGGAATGGTGCTGATATCAGCCAATTAGATAATTTCAATTCAAATAACTGCAACCATCATACTCATTAAGACGATAAAAGCAAGTCTTGTAAAGTGTGAAGGAACCGAGATCAAAACAAAGGTAATATTTTAAGGAAATAGTTAAGGGTTTCAAATCCTATTATATTTCTGAAGCAACAAAAATGCATTAGAAAATGGAGGAGAATACCCAAAACAAAGCTATGAATAATTGTTTCAAGGGCTAAAATGGGTTTTTGAGGCCTCTATCACATTTCATAAATCCTACTGAAAACTTACTATCAACATAAATGGAAAACAAACCAACCACTTCCTTGCTTTTCTTGTATGCACACCTATTCCATCCCCCATAATTTATCATACATTATAGCATTTAATGGCCAAAAAGAAGTCTAAAATAAACCATAATAATAAAAAAATGTAATGCATTTTTCGCACTCACCAGTTGTTTTTCCTCTTTTGAAAGTGCTTCATCCATATGATTAAACAATGCAGTCCATCTTGCCCCATGCAAATCCGCAATTTGGCTAGTCGGAAGTCCCTCAAACATTTTCATAGTGTAAGGATCACAATCTTCGTTATTTGAAAATTCTTTTGATAAAAGGAAAGGTAACTCAGTAGTGATAACAGATCGAACTCTCCTCCTACTGCGTCTCAAAGCTGGGAAATGTAGAAAAAAGTACAAAAGATCGCATGTAAGAAGCATGCCTCCAAAACCTGGTGAATTGAAATATATATGGCTTTACCTGAAAGGCGTCCTTTGATATCTTGATGTAGAAGCTCCAACCATTGAGAAGCAACAGTAGCAGCTGGAAAACATAGGAGCACCCATATTAGCGAAGGCTCAAAGATGCATCTATTTTAAGGAATTTTATCAGTAGCCCAACCCATCTGATAAATAGTGGACAAGGTGAAAGTGAGATACATGGAACAACTTCTAATGGTACCAAATGTATCACACTTTCTAAGCAAGTGTAGTGTAAAGAACTATGAAAAGAATAAAAAAAAATGAATCCCTTGCATCAACTATGAATTACATGAAGTGCTCTAAAGACAAGCATAAAAAGGAGACAAACAACTAAACTGAGAAAAAAAAACACACACACACGCACACACGAGCGCACACACAAAAACATGAGGGAAACAATCACGAGCCTTTTAGAGAAAGAGATGAAACCGTTGTGACATTTGAAGATTCCTCATTTGAAAAATTGGTAGAGCTCGTTGATGCCCTTGTTTCAGATGACAATTTCAGAGCCAAAACATCCTCCTCCATAACATTCGTTGACTGTGTCATACAACTTTTAAGACTTCCTTTCTCTACAGTGCTTCCATCATGATCACAAACTTTGCCCTCCAAAATCAAAGAAGAATCATCCATTGTCACAGGAAACTTTCTTGCTTGTTTGTTCCCTGAAGAACCATGAAGAACCCCTTCCTCACAAGCAAAGGCAAGCTGATGCTCTCCCACATCAGCCACATTTTCTTGATCCCTCTTACTAACTTCCACACCTCCATGTATTCTGTGTGCTGCTTGCTTGTTTGCCACGCCAGTGCTTTCATGTTTTTCAGACCTTACAAGATTCTCGATAATTGAAAGCACTTGTTTTCTATTCCTCACATGATTTATAATTCCGGGGTTCAACTCATTCAGCAGTCCACTTGGAGCAGCAATCTTGGTAAACCGGTTAACCTGTTCCCTCTTTGCAAGTTCCATCTTTTTCTTCAGCATTTCATTCTTACTTTTCCTCCCACGTTGTTTCGGCTTTGGAATACCAGCATGAGAGGGTGACCAAAAACCATATTCCTTCATCTGCTGCCATTTCATCATCGGATCCTTCTCCTCCAAAGGTCCAACACAGCTTCCACTTTCTGATACATCCTTCGACTTAAGAGGATTGCGCCCTTTGGAGGAATTTACAGGTTCCAAATTCACAGAGCTAGAAACATCTTCTGCATTCAGATCCACATTAATTCCCCTTGAAACGACTAAATTACCATGCCCTTTTGCTTGCTTCTCGGTCAAAGACCCTTTGGCGAAATGTTCAACATACCCCCCGCTCTTGCATGCTTCAGCGTTAAGATCCAGAGGCCTAGCCGCAAAATTAACCTCTTCCGGCAACGTGTTCCTTCCTGTTTTCCCTTGTTGAGAAGAATCTGAGGCACCCAACGACCACTGAACAGTGTTTTCCTTGTTGTTTTTAAGCTCCCGGCTATTAGTTTCTGAACAATAATTATTTGATATGCCAAATTAAAATTGAGACCAAAATATAAGTATGCGGGGTTGAATTTTACAAACAAACAAAAAAACAATATTTAAATCAGATATTTAGATTAAAAGTTGAATCCTTTGGAAGCAAAAATACATGCTTGTGAAAAGCTAAAAACGACTTAGTTGGGGCTGAAACACGAAATTACCAGCGGAGTGAACAACGGAGTCAAGATCCTTCATCTTCACTCGTTTTCGAGCGTTGTGTCCCGCGTTAGAGCTTCCGCGCTTCTCTCCCGCGATCTGAAACACAAAAGTGGAATGAGAAGATTCAGATTTGAAAGCAAGAATCACAAAAGAAGAAAAAAAGAACGACCTTGGAATTTGTGGGGGAGGACAACAGCGACGCTGTTCCAGAATTGCAATCCTCGTTCATACGTTAAGTCAAAGGCTGTGGTGTTTGAATGTTGGGAAGGAGAGATTTAGGGTTTGTTGATGGATCTGGTGGATGAGAGTGTCTGATAGAGAGAAGAGGGAAAGAGAGATAAAAGTTTGAATTTGCAGATAAGTGAGCGCGCGTTCACTCTCATGTCCTGGGCTCACATGCTTACAAACTATATCCAGCGGTCACGCGCACCACTGTATTTTCAAACATTCAAAAAATTTGAAAGATCTCGAATGTTTAAACAATGATTGAATTGATTTGTGTTTGTTGTGTAGCTCCGAATAAAAAAAACATGTTTTTTAAAGATTTGAGTTTTGTAATTGTTTTTTCATTTTAAAAAATATATATCTATAAATAACTATTTTTTTTAGAAAAAAAAATCATCAAATGTCTTTAAGAATGTTATTCCTATGTTATTTAAAAATTTGTTTGGCATTTTCTAGTTAAAAGAAAAAATATTATGATCGCTATGTTATTTACAATTGTTAGCATGAAAATATGAGATTTTTTTTCCTCAGTAAAAAACAAATATTGTGATAATAATACCATGTTAATTAACCACTTATTCTTTTATTCTCAAAAATACCAACTTATTCTTTTATTTTCAAAAAAATATTTTAAAATATATTTATGATCAATTAATAATATTTTAAATATATTTGTGATTTTTCTACATAAAAAAATCTTATATACAATATTTCTATATAAAAAAAATAAGAAACTAAAATATATTATTTTTAGTTATAATAAGATTGTTAAGAAGTATTTCTAGATTTACAATACATTCATGAACTAGTGAATTAGTTTGTACACGTGACATATGCAAAAATATTTCATGATTTATATAAAAATTATAGCTATAAAGATACAACAAACATAATGGTAACAAATATTATCAAGATATTAAAGAAAACTTTAATTAAAGATAAATATATGAATAATAAAATAAGAAAGATGTATACACCAAAAAATACTGTACAAATCATAGTTTGTTTTATTAATAATATAGATAACTAATTTATTTGAAAGCTAAAATAAATATGTTTATCATAATATACTCATGAAATAATAGTTAGAAAACAATGTTAAGTGGTCATAGCAAAATATTATCAATCTTAATTATAATTAATTAGTTGAATATTTTACTGATAATCAAATTGAAAATGAATTTGAAATGGATTAAATTTTCATAAACACTAATATAAAAATGAGAAAAAATGAAAATACAAGAATTTTATATTTATTTAATTTCAAATCTACCTTTCGTTATTCAAATAATTTTAATTTTTACTAAAATCTTTTCAATATCCAGGTTACAAAATAATAAGTAAATCTTGAATTATAACACATTTTAATCAAGATTTAATAAGATTTATAAAACTTGAAAATGTTAACCACGTACATTTCAAGATGATGTTCACTTCATAATCATTAAGATATAACAAAGATTTATGAAATAAAAAGATAAGAATAAATTTACCTAAACTTTAAAATATAAAATCCTATAATCAAACAATTTTACCTATGAATTTGATTTTCTTAAGATGTTTTACATATTCAAAACGTTGTTTTGATGCCCACTAAAATTTTATTGTTTTGATCGTTTTTTAAGTTGCAAAAAATATAATTGATTATTTATATACACTAATAGAATGAAAGTAAGTAATATAATCAATTAGTACTAACATAATTGATTATTAACGCAAAGTATCTAAACACAAATTTAAGTCATATAATTGATTATTACAAATTTAGTCAATTTTAAAATAATTGATTAGTTATTTTATCTTTTTACCTTTTTAAAAAGATGGATTAAATCATTTGATTTTAACAATAACTACCCACGCAACTATCTAAATATCTATTAGAATATCATAAAAAATAATTCTTCAACCATTTTTTATTAATAATTTCCCTCTTATGATGACTAACAAACATTTTTTCTAGCAACCCTACAATTAACTTTTCTTCCCCCTGGACTTAATAAAAAGATAAACAGAAAAATGTAATAATACAATTTAATTAAGAACAAATATATTCTCATATCAGAAAAAAAAAAAAGAGTTATATAAAATATTAGAGTTACAAGCCAACAAATCAAATATGGTAATTTATAAAGCTGTGACTATTATCAAATCATAATACCTAATTTTTAAATATTCAAAATTTGACTTTTTCCTAATTTTAACTTAAATAGTAATCTTAACTCTTATTAATTGAAGACAGAATCAATTTTAGTCTAAATTTAATATTTAAATCTATTATTTAACATTTAATTTTATTTTAAAAAACACATTTAATAAAAAAATTGAGACTTTCTTTCACAAAAATACTTTATGCATTAATCTCACCATTACTAACAATAAACACTTGTCTCCTTATATAGAACTAAAAGAGACCAAGGTCATGTTGTAGGTGTATGAATATTTGGGTCTAACTTCATACCTGATTCAGGTTAACAATTCTACTCATCTCAAAACTAAGTTAGAATATGAGTTGAAATGGGATTGAATCCTATTTACATTATTACAAAGAATCATATCTTTCCTTTTGGTAATTGTTGGAGACAAGCATTTCTTCATACAAAATGGGTGCAGAGGTATTCTTGCCCTTATTATTACTTGATTTTAGAAAGGCTATTTGTGGTTATATGCATTAGATCAGGGATCCAAAATAATATTTTAGAGTTTCCAAAATAGAAGTTCCAAAAACAATTCCATAATGGAAAATCTAAATTAACATGTTGTCTCATCTTGCTACCCGTATGCGTGAAATGAGTCGGTTAGAGCTCCATACCAATCCATAAAAAGGTAGTTAGATTACGATAATTGTTAATATTTATTAATGGGAGTTTTGAGACTGTAGATAAAGGTTGTATGCATTTGTGGACTCGTGGTATAAGAAAACTAATAAGTTATATGTTTTATTGGCTAATCAGATACAACAAGAATATGGTTTCAACTTTCATCACCTATATATTTATTTATTCATTTCATTTAATATTAATTGATATAAGTTGAAATTTGACCTAATATTGGAATGTTTTTTATCTTGTCTATTATAGTTTAGCATCTTAGTTTAGAGGAGATATTAGAAAAAAATCTCATCTCATCTTACTCAGTTCTCTATAGTTGAAGTGATATATTAAGGTGAGTCACCTCATGTGTCTTAATTCTTATTATAATTAAAATTATTACATACTTTATTTAGTTATGATTGAGTAAAAAATGGTTTTGACATAGTCTCAAAAGTTTTCTTTTATTCAATAAAATTATTTTTGGTGGGTTTGGATCTAGAAAACCAAGTGTTTGATTCTTGCACTACCAAATTCGTATAAATTGTTAAAATTGTCTAAATGAACTACTAAGTATAAACAAACTTAATCTAGAGTCATGTAAAAAAAAGTTCAACCTGATTTATATTTTAAAATAAGTTATAACTTTTAGTTTAATACGACTCTATGTTAGTTCAACTCACTAATGAATTAGTTTTGACCTAATAAAAAATTATAAAATAATTATTAACGTGTTTATACGAAAATAACTAATTAAAAATATTTAAATAAAAATAAAAAATAAACAGAGTAAAAATAGGTTTAATTCAATTTAAGTCACGATTTTTTTTTATCTATTTTGACATATTTTTTGGGTTGGTGCATTGAGTTAAGTTTGTTTTGATACCCCTACTAATTAGTTATTTATATGCAAGATGTTCGATGATATATAATTTATGGTGAAATTTGAAGACCAATTCAATTGGATGACCTTAATAATGGGTAAAAAATCCATAACTTACGATAAATACTATACAATCCCTACATGTTGAGGCAAAGTCATATAAATTTAGATATTAACTTTCTTAGTCAACAAAATTCAAACCATATTTAAACACTATGATATCTATTGAGTCATTTTGGTTAATGCCAATTAGTATTAAGTTAAAATATAATAATTTGAAATTGTGTTTGTGACTTTTGGATTTGTGTCAAATATTTTTAAAGAGTAATTCTACATGTTTATTCTTATTTTTAATTTATTATGATATTAAAAATACATATTTCTTTTATGACATTATTAGGTTTCACCATATTTTTATTGTATAAAAACGTGACATCCCATTAAATACCAAACGCATAAGACTTCAAAATTTTCGAGTAACGATCATAATATAATATGTACAAGGTAACTTCCTTACATTAATTTTTCTTTTAAGTCCAAACGGATATTCACATTTCCTAATGTAATAATTTGTGATAAATCCTTTCTATATTATTCATATTTATCACATCTTTAATAGTATAATAAGATAAATATTTTCCTTATTTTTTACAATTTGATTTATTAGACCTTAATATAACAATGAAAAGTCAAATCATTTAAAAAATCATCCTATATCATAAACATATTAAGAAACAAAATAAAAAAATAACTAAAAAATAAAATTTACCTTGTTAATTATGAAAATATTATTATAATCTTCTTATAATTATTTTAAAAAAATAAAGATTTTTTAACTAATTTATATGGATCACTTTTTCTCAAAGTAAAATTTAAAAGACAAAAGTCATATTAATAATTTAATATTTATTCAAAAATATTTTTATAAAAATATCACTGAACATTACAATTTAAAAGACAAAAGTCATATTAATAATTTAATATTTATTCAAAAATATTTTTATAAAAATATCACTCAACGTTACAATTTAAAAGACAAAAGTCATATTAATAATTTAATATTTATTCAAAAATATTTTTATAAAAATATCACTCAACATTACAATCCAAAATTAATTTTTGAGAATATGGGGTAATTTTATTTTATTTTCATTCTCTTCTATTCAAAATACTTACGTCTCTTGCTCTAAAATAATCTAAAACCTATAAATGGTAATATAAAGTCATAGTAACATGGGTTAGTACGGTAAATTTAAATTGAATTCGATTGAAAAAATTTGAATTATACATCAGAATGAGTCTGACTAACTGAGTTAAACAAGTTTATGCTAAATTAATAATAATTTGTCTAATTTTTTAATATTTAATATTACAAAACTTTCTATTCACATATGATTTATGGAAATAGAATTGAATCACTTTTACTCTATGACAAAACTTATTCTTTGAAATTTTGTGTTAGTAATTATAAAAAAATAGTATTTTAAAATTTAGATTTGACCAATTAATTCAACAGTGACCTGAAAACCAATCAATCGGTTAAAAAACTTGATTTTAATTAAACTAATATAAAACCTTTAAAATTGAGAAAATGCATTGTTTTTTTATTATGGTAAAAAAACTTAACAAAATTAATTTTTTTAATATAATATTTTTTAATTTCTTTTTTCTTTTTTCTTATATTAATAACATTAATTTTAAATAATAATAATAAATTTATTATAGTTTCATCCAAATAAGTCTTTTATTTTGTAATAATTTAGATTTATATATTTATTATAATTTATGATAATTATCATAATAATTTTAATTTTTTTATAAAAAATTTTATTATTAATAAATTTATTATATTTAAAAAATATTATTTTATTAATATAATTAAAATTTTAAAATTTGAATCATATCATTAACTAGTAACTGACGTATTCAATTTTAAAAATAGTGGTAAGAAAACCTATAGAGCTAATTTTTTTAAATGATATTTCCTAAATTGTAGCTTCAGTGTACACAGGTATTTAACATTTTAGGTAGGAGTTTGAAAGTGAATCAACTAAGCTCAGTTAAAACTAGGTGACTTCAGCTTGATTTTTTGTTTGGTGAGGAGAAATTTCAAAACTTAATTTAATCTCATAGGTTTACTCATTAATCTATATTTTTTTAATTTTATGGATTGAACGGAAAATATGTAAGCTTAATCTAACTCATTTTTTACGAGTTAATAATTTTACAATCCAACTCAATTTATCACTTGAATTGATAATTTGAGTCACTAATTCAATATTTTTTTATTTTTTAAATAATATATATATATATATATATATATATATATATATAATTGCATTGTAAGATATGGTTTTAGTTATAGTATAAATTTTTATCTTTAAAAGTGATACAATAAATATAGTGATGTAATGAATATATGACCAGTGACCCAGCGAGAATGGTAGGACAAAAAAGTGATAACAAACTTAAGAGAGAGATTACGTAACAATCCATTATATCTCGATTTAAACTGTTTAATCCGTAAATTATGTGAGTAGGGATTATTGTTTTTCATCATCGGTAAAAAAAAAAAAAAAAAAATATAAGCTAACCCGACACAAACCGTAATTTCAGTTACGTGCAATACTTTTAACCATTTCAATCACAAAATCATCCCACCCACCCATGTAAATAATATCGCCAATTGCCTCGCACACGTAATCCGCCGCCAACCACCACTGGGCACCGCTTCCAACAGCCACAACTCACAAGCACCAACGATCATCAACTCTCCAAATAAAAAACACAAGGGCAATGCTGTCTTTTAACAAATATGGGGTGCAGGGAAAACAAATGGAAGGTTGTAGAAGCAAAAGCCCAATTTCTTACTTACCGTTACTGTCCAAATCTGAGTTGTTATTTCTTCAAACTGTTTATAAAACAAAACCCTACCTTTTTTTTAATTTTTTTTCATACTCATTTTCTACTTCACTTTTCTAACCCTTTCCCGTCATGGCCATCATCGCCGATTACCAAGAAGAGGAGCAGAGCAACGCGACTTGCTCAGGAGCCTCTGCCTTGTCAAAATCACAACCTCATTCGTTCAGCGCCAATTTTGATCCCTCCAACCCTCGAGATTTTCTGCACAAGGTATTTGATTTCGTCGCCCAAACAAGCGACTTCTTCCAAAAGGACACAGCTGTGGAAGAGGTTGTGTCTGCGGCGAGTGCCGCCAAGGTGAAGGCGGCTGCGAAATCGGCGGAGAAGAAAAGGAAGGAAGTGGAAGCTTCTAAGAAGGAGGCAGCAGCAGTGGAGAAGAAGAAGGAGGAAGTAGAAGTCTCCAAGGAGGAGGCGACGGCAGTGGAGAAAAAGAAGGACCAAGAGAGCACTTCAGTAGGTAAGAGATTAAAGTCATTTCAACTTCCATGTGCTTTTCCATGCGATGTTTTATAGGATCTGTTTGAACAATAGATTCTGGAGCAGAGTAGAGAAACTTATTTTATTTTTCTCTTAGAAATACAAGTGGAGGGAAGTTTGTAAAAAAATCTCCCTGAAATAAATGGTTATATTAGTTCATTAAAAGGGTAGGTATTATCCCATTACTCCTGAAATTAAGTAAATTAGTAAATAAGTTTTTTGTCAACTATTTGTTGCTGTTTAATGGAAGGAGGTGAGAGATAAAATTTGATTAGACATTTGGTTTGGGAAAGGATCCTCTCCCATTCAAAATAACTGGAGAGTCTCCTATTAGGAAAAAGGTGCACCATTTGATTCAACGTGTGATTTAATTTACTAAACGCACCGTTTCACTAAACTAAGACTCAAGCTTCTCTCTTTTCGGTTCCGTCCCGTCATATACGCATTCTTGTTTGCTTCCATATGCTTTAACTCGATATTTTATTTCACAGTGAAGCTTTATTGAAAGGAGATTTAGTAACTGGTTTCTTAATGCACTTCTCTGTAAACTTTTGTCCCTGATTCTTTCCTCCTAAGCAGTAGAGGTGCTGCTTTTTGATGCAGATTCTATTCCACTTGTGTCATTTAGTTGATACAGAGAATCTATAACAATATACTTTTCCAATTGTGAGAGTTATTTATTACCAAGCTCCAGATAGGATGAATAATTGCAATGAATTTTACGGATTTTACTAAATTAGTTTGATACTTTTTTTTTTATAGACAAATTAGTTTAATTCTCAATTGGCATAGATTTTTTATAATTGGCAAGCCATTTGTTTTCACATCATCAGTATATAACTCTCGTCTTATTCAATAAGCTTTTAGTCAATTTCAACTTCAAATTTTAACTTTACATTTGAACGTGGATTTTTAAGCTCAAGATATACAATGTTTGCATATGGTTTTGACAAATTCAATTATACCAACTTCTACCACCCCAACAATTCATTCTCACGCCCACTCTGCCGTGACAAACCTCAGGGGTTTGAGTCTTGGTTTAGTGGTACGGACTAAGTTGCGATAAGTAAAGCAAATCTCAGTCACACATTAAATCAAACATTGTTCCTTTCTCTAATTGGAGACTTTCCAATTATTTTTAATGGGAGATGATCCATTCCCAATTTGTTTGGTTGAAAATAAGAGGGGAGATGTTTTAAAAATTAATTTACTTTGTGCTTTTATAATCTTAAAACATAAATAGAAATATTTTGTCAGTCATTTCTTGAAATGTCTTAAATCTCTTCCTCTCTAAATCCCCCATTATGGGAGGGTAGCAAAATTTGGATGGAAAGAGATTTTACTTCCCTCGCCTATCCTACAAATTCAGGAAAAGAGTGACAATTTACTCTGTTATTTATTATTATTATTTGTGAGGAACTCATTGCAATTACATGAAGCTACAATGGTGATTAATATTATGTTCTATTTTTGCCATATGATGTATATCTGATTGGGCTATGTTGGGTCATTGCTGGTGTGCATGTTACATGGTATTATGCTACATTTGTCTTGAATATTTTAGGATGTGTAAAGGTAATGGTTCTAATTCCAGTCAACATCCCTTCTTTGTTTCTTTCTTTGTGGTACTTTGAAATAATATGCCATGATATGCGTTATGATTTGTAGCCTAAGTTATTTAATTGTACTGAGGAATCATAGATACTGGTGTTCTAAAGTAGTGATTTCCTTGCTAGCACACTGCTGACAACAAAGGATTTTATATCTTGTGTATATATATATATATATATATATATATATATATATATATATATATATATGTTAAGGTTCCAACATAAAACCAATTGGCAATATGTGGAGTAGCCTAACATGTATTTAAACAATACCAAATGACATGAGGTAGGCGATGTGGGACTTTCAACACGCCCCTCCTTTTGTAATTCTGAACAATTATTCCAAAATTTATCAAATTCAAGTGGCTTGACGAAGAGGGATTTACTAGTCTGAGAAGAAAGCTAAAAAGTCAAAAGCTAAAAACCTTCATGGAGTTTACTGGGAACATTCAACCTGATTTGGTTCGGGTCTTTTACTCCAACTTAACACCAACTTAACAGTAAATGGTTCTACAATCAGATCTCAGGTAAAGGGAGTTAATATGGAAATTACTCCTTCTGTTTGGGAGCAAATTGCTGGCCTCAAGGATAGAGGTGTCAAATTTCCAGAGGGAATATTTCTGAGATTCCTGATTTCAACAAAATTCAGTTTTTCCGGGCTTGCCTTAAGGATCCAAATGATTCGGTAAGAATTTTAAATGCTGGAAAACTTGCACTTGAACATAGACTACTTGCTTTTATTGTGGCATGGATGCTTACTCCAAGAGGGAGTAATCATGCTATTCTTAATGAGGGAGATCTTGCCCTCATGTACTGCATTTTTAACAATATTAAGGTAAACTGGGTTTATGTGATTAAAGATCACATGTTGAAGGCTAAAAGGTTCGCAGATTTCAAACTGTCGTATGCCATGTTAATTAACAATTTCTTTAGATATTTTGAAGTTGATCTTTCAGGGGAAAACATAGAAACCCCCAAGGCATCAAATGAAATTGACGACTCCACCCTGAGAAAAATGGGGTATATTAAAGTTGATGATGAATGGATCTCCAAAATTGATGCTGGGATGTCTGAGGGTGAGGAAGAAGATGAAGATGAAGATGAACAAGGCCAAATTCCTTCCTCTCCAGCTGCTGCAAAGGTTCTTGAGTCAACCAGTGGTCAAGCCTCATATGAGAATATAGAAATCATTCCTTACATGGAGTAGCCTGACCGTGGGACTCCTTTATCTCAATTTGAAAGAACAATGCTTTCTCAAATGGCTGCAATGCAGGAAAATCAGAGAAAGCATATGCAGATGACATTTCAACATTTCCAGCAAACAAACAATCAATTCGCATCCCTTGGAAACCAGATTGCTGATATCTACACCAAGCTGGAAGATATGCAGTTGAATCAAGGAAACTGGGATGATTGAATTTGTGGATAAAAAGGGTCCCTTCTTATCTTTCTTTTATTTCTTATTTCTTTTGATGCTAATTTTAATTTGTGGTCTGTAATATTTACTGGTTGTATACCAGGTACAATCTTTTTAGCTTTGGTTAATATAATGTAGGTTTTAAATAGAATCAAACTAGCCTAGATAGAATTTAACATAGATCCCTGATATTTTTAGCTGATACAAAATGGATTTAATCGATTAAATCGATTAAAGGAAACACTTTCACAACAAAATAATCGATTAAACTGCGTATCAATCGATTAAAATCTATATAAACTAGTTTACATCAGTTAAATTAGGTAAATAAAATTTTATTCTAATGGATCTATTGGTTAAAATTTAATCGATGTAGTTGATATTATTGTAAAACATTTTTCTAAATGATCGGTTTTTCAAAATTCGCACTGAATTAGACATTTTAGATGCATCAAACATTACTTAGTTTCAGAACTGATTGTTTTAATCAATAAAAAATCTTTTAAATCGATTAAAAGAATTTATACAACATTTTTCTTACTGTTTTAATCGATTAAATGTCGAATTAATCGATTAAATGAACTTATGTTTCAAACTTTCAAATTCTTTTACTGGTTTAATCGATTAAACCTTTATTTCAATCGATTAAAACCCTTAACAAGAACTTTTTAATCGATTTTGTCCTGTTTTTAATCGATTTTTATTCTGGAAAGAAAAATTAAAGGTTTTAGTTAATGGTTGTTCTTGTAACATGCTACTAAAGTGTGGTTCCCTTATCTTTACACGTGTTAATTGTATTCATTACAAACGTGTTAATGAAGATAAGTTTGAATCAACTTTGATTAATCTTTTCATGTGAAAAGTATCGTATTCATATTTTTTTTCAAAATCTCAAACATAATACATACCTATGCATTGTTTTTCCTCTGTTTCCTATTTTTGATTAAGTCAAAAGGGGGAGAAAAAGTTGCTTTACTTTTGATCAATTTAGAGAGAGAAATAATTCTTTATTTAGGGGGAGCAACAATTTACGGGGAGAAATAGGAAAATGATTAATTTTTTATTACTCACTAATCTATATTATCAAGTGACTTCTTTTGCAGAGTTATTATTCAAAGTGATGTTTGTCTTCATCAAATAGGGGGAGACTGAAAGTGATGAAGATCTTATTGAAATACTTTGGCAAAGATCTTGTTGATTTGATGAAGTCAAAGGCAACTTTGTAGTATTGATCGATTAAAACACGTTTCAATCGATTAAAACAACTTAAGAGAATTTCTACACAGCGTTTTAATCGATTAAAACATATTTTTATCAGTTAAAATCGTTTGGAAAAGTTTACAAGGAAGTATTGCAGTATTTTAATCGATTGAAACACGAAACAATCGATTAAATCAAATTAGAAGATTTTTTGTAAAGAGTTTTAATTGATATAAACGTTGTCGTATCAGTTAAAACAAATCTGTAAAATAATCAAGAACGTTTTAATGGATTAAAAAAAATTTTAACACATTAAAATAAGACTTTTAACAGATTAAAAGATTATTTTAACAGATTAATTAAACCAGCAGTTTTGAAAATCTTCTATATAAACAGAGTTGTTTGAACTTTTTAAATATCATCTTTTACACATCTTTTAGCAATCAATCAAGCAAACTTTAGTACTACTTTCAAGAAAGATTCGCGTTAGCTTTTGTGAAGTTCTTTGAAATTCTTTCTTGAGGCAAATTGCTTTCTTTTGAAGAAGAAACACATACTGCAGAATTGCATAAAACTGGTTTGAGCATTCTAGTTTCTTCTTTTCTTTTCATTTCTGTATTGTTGGTGCCTGGAATTGTGGGCACTGGTTTCTCTGCAGCTGGAATTTGGTTGTAGAGGTTGTCAAGAACTGGAATTTGGTTCTTGGTGAAAGGTTAGGTGCAGGAACTGGAATTGTGGTAGATTGAGTGTAGATGCAAGATAATCTGTTAATTGCAAAAATCTTTCAAAGATCAATTCACCCCCTCTTGATCTCAGCCTATATTTCTAACAATTGGTATACCGGAAAGATGTTAGGCTTTGACTCTGATACCATGTTAAGGTTCTAACATAAAACCAATTGGCAATATGTGGAGTAGTCTAACATGTATTTAAATCATACCAAATGAGATGAGGTAGGCGATGTGGGACTTTCAACGATATATATATATTGATTATTGATCAACTCTTTATTAGAAGTTGTATTTTATTAATTGTTTTCAACTTTTAAACAGTACCAAACATAGGTAATGGTCTGGATCTAGAAAAATACTCCTGGACTCAAACTCTGCAGGAGGTCAATGTGAGTGTTCCTGTGCCTACTGGAACGAAATCTAGGTTTGTCATCTGCGATATAAAGAAGAACCATCTAAAAGTTGGACTCAAAGGCCAACCACCAATCATTGATGTAAGTTTATGTTAAACTTATTTATTGTTAGAGGATACGTCCTACATACATTAAGATTGGTGATTGTTCCAACCTTGCTTATGTTGTCTTCAGTTTGTGTGTAGTTTTTGTAACATTTTGCTGATTCATGTTTTAAATATTTTCAGGGTGAGCTATATGGATCTTTAAAGCCAGATGACTGTTATTGGAGCATAGGTAAAGTATTACTAAATTGATCTAAGAAAAATTCTTTTAGTGAGAATAATTCAGTAGCATTTGCTGCGTTTTATATTTTTAAGTCCAATGTATGAATTCACCCGATATCGCTTTTGAGGGCCGTTATTGTAGTGTGTGCACGTGCTAGTATTCCAGATTAAGTAGTTGAGTTCGGTTGAACTTATTATTGGAGTGAGAAGTATTGAACTCTTAAAATGTCACTCATTATTTTCAAACCAATTTGCTGGGATCAGATTTTCATTTTCTGTTTATTAATTGGTGCGAATGAATGACCTTGACCTCTTACTGTTTCACTCATTGTTTACTAACCAATTTTGGTGGGATCATAATTTATTTATGTTTATTAATGGAGTGAGAATTGATGACCTCTTGACGTGGCACTCATTATGTACAAATCTATTTTGCAGAGGATCAGAATACAATTTCTATTCTTTTGACCAAGCATAATCAAATGGAGTGGTGGAAATGTGTTGTAAAGGGTGATCCTGAAATTGATACCCAAAAAGTAGAGCCTGAGAACAGCAAACTTGCTGACCTCGATCCTGAAACTCGACAGACTGTTGAAAAAATGATGGTAACTGATATAGTTTTGTTCAATATTTTCACCTGCAGTTTTTTCTATCTGTTATAGTATTCATACTAAGGTCTTTTTGATTGAAAGTTCGTTCCATCTATTTACCAGGGTTAAACATTTCAAGATTAATGCAATATTAGTTATTTGGTATATTTAATTCAAATTGATTGTCATACTATACTATCCAATGGCGATAACTTTTTTTATTGAATTTTTTTAGTCATGTCCTATAATAGGGATCAACTCTCTAGGCAAAGCCTGAATATTAAAGTATATTTGAATGACATTGCTTTGGATTTTAGAATACCTTTTGTTAGTCGGCTTAGTTCTCTTTTATTATCCAGTTTGATCAGAGGCAGAAGTCTATGGGCCTCCCTACTAGTGATGAACTCCAGAAGCAAGAAATCTTGAAGAAATTTATGAATGAGGTGAACTCTTGATTTTCATCTACCTTTACCTTTTTCTTCTCATCACACGCACCTTCATTGATAAGAGAGATCTGACATTCCACTGTCATGTGTTGGCAGCATCCAGAGATGGACTTCTCAAGGGCAAAAATATCATAAAATGGTGCTATGGTATAGCTGTACTTCTATTTTTTGGTCTGATCTCTGATACAGGGTTGCAATATCATTGTTAATATAGCGGTACCAGTGTTTCCTGTTCATCTATGGTTGTGAACACCGTGAACTTTGTTCAGAATAGTTGAAGTTGGTTTTGTGGGTGACAAATATAAACAAATTTACGATAAAATGTTATATTTTATTTTGCCTTCTGAATAATTCAGAGTTCTTAACATTGTTATGGTTAGTTTGGTAAAGAGAGGGAGAGAGACGAAGGAAGAATGGAATGGGTGGTGTCTACAAAATTTTTAAAATTAGGTGATGTCTACCAAATGATTTCAGAGTAACATAAAATTTTTAAATTTAATATAATAGACTACGTTGCAAATTAATATTATTCCTTACCCATTTATGCAACACGACAGTGGTAAAAATTATTCATAGAAGAAAGTATTAAGATTGTTAAAAAACATATAGGTTACATAAAGCGAGTATTTCCTTTTAATATGCTTTATTTGAACAAAAAGTGTTAACACTGTTAAGGTAATTATAAATGTCTCATGCAGACGAATAGGAATGGAAACTAAATGCAGCATGAAACTATGGAATTATTGCAGCGACTCCAAGCCTCGACTTTATTTTTAGCAGTGAGAGAAGGGTGATCATTTAATTTGTGGCATCCAAGACGGGAGAAACAAGGGCAGGATGTAAGTAGAGAAAGCTATCAACATATTCTTCTTCTGCCATCAGAAAGGACGGAAGAGGAAAAACAAAGAAACATGCAAGAAAGGGACTCCGCAACAGATAATAAGAAAAAACTACAGGCAATTAGACTTCTAATAAACATTAATCTTCTCATCAAGTGAAAAGATAAGAAACGATAAAAATAAATAAACTCATAAAACCGAAAAACTAAAATAACACGGTTTCAACGATTTAATGTAAAGAATCCACTAGGGTGTATAAACACAAATGCATGAAAATTTATCAAACAGCACCCATAAATACCCAAATGAACAGACAATAGAAGGGAGATTATTGAGGTGAGAGATTTAGGAATACCAGAATTACGATCATCCCTTTCCTTCCGGATCATTTAGGAGCAGTTCCCACAAGATTACGACGATGATCCAAACCAATCATTGCAGCTCTGAAGGAAATATTCAGAATGAAGAAGACCCAAGCAATCCAATTAAACGGAGAGAATAAAAAAACAATGATAACAAATTATACGTAAATTCAAATTCAAAAAGAGAAAAATATTATAAATATATATTTTATTATTATATTTCTTTAAATTTAATATTTCGAAATGTTTATATTATTTAAAATAAGAAAAAATATTACATTATTATTTTGAGTTGGAAAACTAAGATTACATATAACCATTTGTTTGAGTGTTAAAACAATCTTGAAAACAAAATAATAATAATATTAAGTTATATACACAAAAGAAAGAAAATACAAAAATAAATAAATTATGGAAAGCATATGCAATATTTGTTTCTCAAAAGAAAACATTTTTATATAAGCAACACTCTTGCCTACAACGTAACTCCTCTTTATAAAAAAATTTCTCATAAATATTTTTTAGAGAAAAATATATAATTTCTCCGTCTAAAATTAATTTATGCTTGAGTTAAAAATATAATTTTTTAAATTAATAAAAATATATTTTACTACTTAAGTTTAAGAAGAATATTAGTTTTTTATTTTCTATTTTTAGATATATTTATGCAAAGATTTCTCTTATTAGTGTAGGTTTTTGAATCTAATTCTTCGTAACGAGTATTTAGTTAAATTATGTGCATTATACGGATTGAAGTTAAATTTTATATGTAATTTTTTATTATTGATAATTATTATAGAATATAGTTTTTTTTATACCATGTATTCCAAATAAATCAAATAAAGTTATGCTTGTTAAATCATATAAAGTTTGATATTAAATATAGCAATTGTTATAATAAATTAATATAACTTTTAAAAAATACAAAAGTTAGTCCTCAATTTCGCACCAAAACTAATATGACTTTTTTTTCATCAAAAATAGATATTTAATAAAAATGTATACATGCATATCTTATATTAATTTTCTAGTAGATGCATAAAATTTATACTTTATTCATATATTACAAACTAATCAAATTTATAATTAATGTATAATTCTCATATTTTTGAATTAAATTATTTATAATAATCGGATAATGAGTATTACAATAATCTTGATAAATATTATTAGAATAAACCCTAATGATTTATTATATATTATAATTTAATATTATAATTTTTTATACTTATTTATATCTTATATTTTAATAATATTTAACAGACATAAAATTTATACCATTTGTTTTTATCATTACGTAAACAATAAAATTAACGAATTAGGTTTTAAAAAAATAACATCCTTTTTTTCTTTTACTAATTGGTAATTTTTTTCTTAAATATTTAAAACATAATTTTTTTTATGATGGATTAATTTCTACTTGTTAAAAAAATTATTAAGTCAACTTTAAAATACTAATTATCCATAGTAAATAGTCAAGTTTTTTGTTGTATTATGTATCAACCATGTATTATTACTTATCTATATTTATGTTAAGAAAATAGGCTATTGTAATTTCAAAACTCACATATGATTAGTTTATATGGAATATAGGCTGTTATAATTTCAGTATAAAATAATTTTCAGATGAAACACCATCTATAAGCCAGATGTTGTAATTAGAAAACTATAGATAATTAGTCAAAACTGTGTCCAAACTTGTTTGAATCTTTTTTTAGATTCTTTTAAGTTTTTTACCTCTATCTGAAAATATCATGGACAAAACTAATATTTTTTTTAGGATTTACTAACTAAATGAGTAATTAAATCTATTAATATTATTATTGAAAAATTATCATAATAAAAATAAATGATATTCCAACATTTTATTTAGAAAACATCAAAATTAATTTTTTTATAAAATAAAAACTTTATATATATATATATATATATATATATATATATATATATATATAATTGATAATTCAAACAATATCATCATTGATATGTATATAATCCTATTATTATTATTATTATAAATAGGTTGTATACAATACTGATCATCATATCTGCCAATGGAATTTTACAATACTCTTCGTCTTTCATTTGTAGAACCTCCACTTTCTTCAACACAATTTATTTCCTTTCATCTCACTTCTTTTATTGTCTCTTCCAATCGATTTTTTTTTTATTTTATTTTAAGTGTACTTAATTGCTTTTCTGATGTTTTAATTTGTGCTTTTTTTTTCTTCTTCTGTAGATCTGTTTCTTTTGTAATTGAAAAATGTCTGCTGATGTTTCAGAAATTAGTTGAAAACATACAAGGTTATTCATGCTCAGATATTAAAATATATATCAACAAATTTTGTAAAATTAAATATAATAGATAAATAGATTAAAACATTAAGTAACTATCACAATTTTAATATTAGATTTATTCGAGTGTATGTTAGTAATCTAGCCAAGAATTCTCAACGCATAAAAAAACAGTTCTTAAGAGTGCATGTTGGAATTGTAGTCAAATTTTAAAATGAAAGGAGAATTAGAGTTAGGGGATGAGGGGTTGTTCAAAACTGATAAGAAAATAACAAAAATGAACTTTTCCAGCTGTTACAATAATATTTAGACAAGCGTGGCTTCCAACCTTATACTCACCATGTCATTGTCGTCAAAAAATTAAAACCAACAATAATGATGTTAACCACAATTAATTGATCCCATGGAAAACTCAAACTAACAGTTACTAATTGAATAAAAGCTAAATGATATTGTTGATTCCAAAACCAATAAAGAATTAGAACTCCTCACTTAACCTTCGAAAATCAAGCATCCAGGGTGAAGCGATGAAAGGTTCGAAGATATTTAGATGGCACGGAAGTTGGCAGAGCCCAAGAGGGGGAGATCTCGAGACTCAAATCAAGAAAGACAACATTTCCATTTGAAGAAACCATCCACACAGCAGCCACCGTTGTCGACACAAAATCAAGCAAATAAGCAGTGGCATGTTTAAGCGGCAGACCTCAGAGTAGTATGCAAAAGCTCTTGCAGCTCCGGCGCTTATTTTTGATGCAGAGGAGAAATCCGGCAGCCTAAGATAATTTTTTTTACGATAGTAGAGAGTTTATTGGAGTCATGAGAATGATGTCTCTATTTTGTCATGAAGCGTGACCACTAGGTTATGTGCATCATCAAGCAGTTTCCAAACATCAAGTTGACCTGCCATGCTATTGCATTCCTTAATGATTTCATCCATGCTGCTATACTTTTCAATGATCAATTTCCTTTTCTGCAACACCGAAGCTGCTATTGCATAAAGCAATAAATCTTCTGTTGGTGGTGCACGCTGCCTAATTCTGCTCCATGCAGATTTCCCAGTACCTGCCCTTATTGCCGCTTGATCTGCCCACATCACTTCCCATAGGCAAAGGGTTTGTTCAAATGTCAGCTCCCTTCTAAACATTACCACCACCATTCTATAGACAAAAAAACAATCCTCAGCCTGAAGCTTTTCCAAATGCCTAAAAAGATGGGCATCCTTAAACTTTATTATTTTTGCGACCAAGTCCAGTTGCCTGCGAATACCCACTTCATCAAGCCTAAAATTTTGCCGTGCCTTCTTCATGAATCCAACAAAACACCAGAAAGCCTCATGATCCTCTGATATAACACTAATTATAGGAGATAGCAGGTCACTCATACCTTGGCAGTAGCCAATGTCAGAGTCATATAGTGCATATGCTTCAAGAATAGCAACTAGTCGGGCAGCATGGAAAATTCTGCCAGCCTCTAGGTGACCATAATCCCTCAAGCCAACAGCCTCAGCAGTTCGACGGGCCCTGCTGTCTGGTACGGAGGCTTGAGACGGGTAACATGACATCCATTCAGCATTGGCACGTATTGCATCAAGTCGGATAATTCGTTGCCAGGTGGAAAAATCTTCATTAGTTGGCGGCTTTGATGGGATTTTGTCTTTGGAGGGAGAAGATACTTCCTTGGGAGCGTTGTCTGGATTGTTATATTCCTCAATATCATCAGAAGGAACTGTCTGAATTACTTCAGAACCTTCTTCAAAGGAGTCTGAATCAGAGAAATCAGTATCCAGTGTAGAGACATCAGCGTTGTTCACAGTATGAATGTCGTCTCCTTCCAACAGGGCACTGGATGGATTGTCAGAATGTTCAACATCAGCGCTCTTATCCTCACTAGAGAGAGATTCCCTAGCACTGACTACATCATCAGAACTAGCAGAACCAGAATCTTGACACAAACTTCTACCATCACCCTCATAGCTGATTTCACCAACTTCATTTAACTTATTTCTCTCATTGCTTTGCTTGAAGAGCTTCCTACATTGTCTGCGGAGCTTCTCATACTGCTTTCTGTGCATAAAGATTTGCAGTAAAATTAAAATGATGTTAACACCCTCTTCCCTCCACCAATATAAATTTGAAGTTTAACAACACATGATGGGATAGAGCACAAGCAATGAAATGTATCAAACATTTGGAGATTAAACTTGCATGCCCACCTATTTTGAGTTCTTATAACATCTCTTTCGTCTTTGCTGCTGTCTAAGTCATACCTGCTTGTTTAAAGTCTAATCAGTACCTGTACAAATGTTAATCTAACAAATTTCAAATATATACATGATGAACAAGAAAAAACGATCAAATTCCAATTTTCTTAAAGAAATAACAAAGCAAATGTTAACTTTTGAAATCCATACTTGGAGTAAAACTCCAGCCAGAGCCATTAATTTATAGATAATCACGAATAATCAAGTATGCAAGAAAATATGTAGTAAAGATCTATGGCATCTAGAAAATAGCTTACACTCCAAGTAGGAATGGCCAAACCTCAGCCCTGATACTAGGATCAACACCCTGCATCAGAAATTAATAATGTAATTATTTCTAAAATAAGTGCATGAAACACAATTTTGTGTAATAAATAGAATAGATAAACTCACTCCACTGCGCACTCTTTTGAGGAACTTATTTCCACCATCATAGAATCTACCATCTTCTGTAAACATGCATTTCCATTGCTGAGGTGACAGAACGTGTTTTCTTTTCCTTTGCGACCATGGTGATTTAAGCCGGCCCCTAAAACACAAAGGAGGGAATTAATTACTACTTGCAGGTTTTAGAATAGAGAAGAAGGAACCAACGAATCATGGAAGTAACTAGAATTGCAGAATAATACACATCCAACTGTATACAAAAAGAAAAAATACACAGAAAGATATGCTTCCATAAGTAAACAACAGTACACTAGCATGAACCGAAAACTTTTACAACCATTTATAGTTTTCTTCCTTCCCCAGCGAATTAGTTGAACAAGCATGTCCAAATCTTAGCATTTCACAAACTACAATTCTACATGGAACACATTGGCGTCACAACTCACGAGTTCCAATAGTTTTGTGTTAGCTTCTGTTGATTTATGAGTGAAATGCTTCATGTAGAACTGTCCTAATTCCTTAATGATAAGGCACTTAAAATGCATCCAGTGTTACATTCATCCAACTTACACACTATTATTGCTCCTGCTTCCATTTGCATATGAAAAACAATGAATTAACTACACAGGTTTAATAAATTTATAGTAGGAGTTCCTACTTCCCATCAGCTATATTCTTTCAACGTTATTAATTACTAACCTCGGCATATAAGTCACTAGTAACTCAATTTACTCTTAATTCACCCTTTTTTATTCTAAATTTTTTTAGTTTTTTTTTTTTTTTTTTTTTTGAGGAAGGAACCTATGTTGACGTGAAGATATATAGAAAACATAGATGAAGGCATAAATTATTGTATAATGAATGTAAATCTGTAATTTAAAACATATGAATCCACGAATGCAATCATAGCTTGATCTGGTTGATTGATTTGAAATGGATCAGGGATAAAGGAAAGGAGCTTCAATTTCAAATAACGTGTTCCACTGTTCGAAAAGGTGATGGAAAAATTAGGGAATGCGGAGAAACAGAGATCTGGCACGAAATAACAAACACAGCAATTGAAGAATCTGAGTCGAAACACAACGTTCAAGCTGTAAGAGAAAGAAATCAAATGGAGAGAGAGCAAAGGGAGAGAAGAACTCACCGATGAAAGGGAGGACGAGAAGAAGCCGGTGAGGAAGAGGTAACAACAAATAGAACCGCACGCAATGGGATCCAAGACGACGACGTTGAAGAAGAATAATTAGAAGAAGACGAAGAAGAAGAAGACGAAGAAGAATTAGAAGAGGAATTAGAGGAAGGTGAAGAAGGAGGACACGAATTGGAAGATGGATTGTCTTTTTGTCCAGGAGGATTCATCTATAATAATTATAATGATAACAACAATTGCTATGTATCTAATAAGATAATTACATGTATATTATACACATAGAAGCTTTCCTTTTGGCTAAGTGGAACGAAATCGGAGTTAGGGTTTTGGAAGCTCTAATTTTATTTTAAAACAAATTTCTATTTTACCTACTGGCGCCGTAGAAAATCACGGCGACGATGGCGACGCCGGCGAGGGCGGTGAAAACCACCGCCGGAGTAGAGGGCGAGGCGACGGAGGCCATTAACCAGAACTTGCACTTGCCACCGCCACCGACGGAGAGAAAGGTGGTGTCGCTGTTGCTGTTCAAGTGGGTGGATGTGAACATGGAGAAGGAAGAGAGAGAGGGTCGCTTCTAAAATTACGGCAATGCCCTTTTTATAAGACCCTTTCTCTCTCTTCCACTCTGCTCTCGCGGTGTGGTTGCTATTGGTTTATAAACCCAAACGCCAAAACCAGGTTCTGTTTGTTTGCTTTGATTTTTGTCTTTCACTCTCTCTTTGTCTCTGCTTACAAAGGGTTGGGGCGAAGGCAAAGGTCTGAGATAGAAGACTTTGGAAGAAGCATGCATGCACAATCAATGATATGAACACAAGTTCCTTTATGTAGCAAATAAGTTAGTTTTCAAAAAATATATGCACACGTCATGCTAAAAGGCCCATAACCAAAACGGTGCGGTTGAGAACTGTAAAATGGTATTTCACATATCCAAATTTAGGTCTCTCTTAGCAAAAATAATTGGATATCGTTTTCTGCAAAAAATAATCATTGGATATCGTTTTCCGTAACGGTTCAACTTTTAACTAAAATTAATGTATCATTTTAAATCTTAAATTAGTACTTATATACTTTGATTTAAAAGATTGAGTCTTCTTATATATTGAATGACAATTTAATCAATTACCCTATCTAATAAATCTAATTTATTTAAATATAATGATAATTAATTAAATCATTTTTAATCAACTATCCTATCCATACAACCTAATTTAACAGTATATAATGAAAATTAATTAAATTATATTTAATATATTTTTCTACAAAGCAAATTAAATCATATTAATTTATTCCTATAAATTATTTTATGTATGTGACATGTAACAACAATTCTCCAAGTTGAGTTTGGTATATAGATCTCCTCATTGCTTTTGACCAGTACATGCATAAACTCTAACTAAGATTACTATATCCATTCAGTAACATGAAAAAAACAAAATATGAGAAAAAATTAAAATAAATTAAAAAACGTATTTATTGATTACAGAAAAAAATTGTTAGATTTAAAAAATAATAAATTAATTAAAGTTAATTGTTTTAAATTATAAAATTATTTTATATGATTATTGATCAAATTTTTTAATAAAATAATTTTAAAATTAATATGTTTAAATTAAAGTATATTTGTCTTCAATGATATATATTATAAAATATTATAAAAATATTTTTAAAACTAATTAACTTTAAATTAATCATATAATATCACGTTAAAAAACATAACATATATTAAACTATTAGATTAATTTTTGTATCCATTTTCTTATTTATCATATTTAGTTAAAATAAAATAAACAAGTTATAAATTAATATTATAAATATAAAAATGAATAATATTTTTTATTTTTTATATTTATACATCTTTATTAATTATTAGTAAAATATTTTCTATATCTATTTATTTCTATTAGTTATGTTTTTATTGTTTTAAAAAATAAATTTATTGATTTAACTAATCTAATCGATAATGGACACGTTATTTATAAATAATTAAATTTTAATTAAATCAATATAAAATTAAAAAATATCAGAAAATATGAAAAATTCGGATGAATTTTAAATCAAATTAATTATGATAAAAAGAAATTGAGATAAAAAATTATTATTTTTTTGAAAAATAATTTTTATTTATTTGATTTATATTAAATTTAATAATAATTATTTAATTATATTTTTATTGGTGTGTTTCTAAAAGCATTATTTTTTTTTCATTCTGTACTCTCTCTTTTTTTTTCACAAATGAACAAATCCTTTGTGTAAAACATGACAAACATAATAAGAGATAATGAAATATGTTTTACTAGCATCTTTAATATCATCATTTGAGTATTTTGAGTGTGAGACTTGTGTACCTATTTTTAATTATACAAAATATATTTGACACAATAAAATATTTATTAAATTTAATATTTATTATCAATATATAAAAATAAATTATTCAATAATAATTAAGAAATCTATGATACAGTCAATTATAATATTATTTATTATTTAAAATAATTAAATAAAAATCGTATAAATATAATCACTCATTTTTTTATACTTGTCTCTTCTTCTTACATTCTTATTTATTATAAACTTAAACATCATAAAATAATTAGAAAATAAATATTTTTTTTTCTCATATCTCATAATTTTTAAAAAAAGGTTCCAATAGTATAATGGAGGACACTCTTCTTGCTGGGTGATCAGGAAAGAATGTTTGTGGGACCACACTGATGAAAAAAGACGACACTAGAGTCAAGCCTCAGCTTCCTTGGCTTACGAACAGAGGAAAGAACAGAAAAAGAAACCCATGTGGGGGCAAAAGAGTGAGTGAAATAATAACCTACACATACATACAAAGCAGAATGTGGTTAAGTGAGTTTTATATCTATCTGCAAATGAAGGGACCATGTCTATGTCTATGGGATCATGAAAACCATCTTCAATAAAATCATATCACTAACAAAAAATGAAGCATTTTAGTTAATTAAAATTTAATAATTTTTTTTTAATTTGTCACCTAATCAATCCAACTCAGTTCAACTATATCAAATGTAGGTTTGATTGAATTACGTTGAATAAAACAAAAAAAAAACTTAAGTTCACTCAACCTAAGTTTTTTTTTATTTAGTTTAGTAATAGGTTTGACCAAAATCTACTCAATGAAAACTTGTGTGGTATTATAAATAAAGTGAACTAAGAATTTAGTTAAAAGCGCAAAAACAATAGTTAATCTCACACGGGATATATCAATCTTATTGGGATTAATAAATCCACAAATTTAAAATACAAATAGGAAGAATTATTATTTAATTAGTGAAAATATTTAAATTTATATAAATAAAAGATTAGTCATTTATTAACTTTTTCATAAGCTAAACTTTTTTATATTAAAAGTTGCAAGACTAATAAATTTAGTTTTTTTTTCAAATTATGGTAACAAAATTTAGAGTTCATTATATTTTAGAGAGAAATTTTTAAAATAGCATTTTGAATACGAAATTGAACTTCCTTCACAATCTTTTCAACATTTCGTGTTAAGAAAGTTCTCTTAAACTTGATCTATTATATTAAGAAAATCAATGTTGATAAAAAATTAACATCTCCAATATGTTATCAACATTATAATATATAATATCTTATTAACAAATTAGCATTCCATCGTAATATTAAACAAACATGCATCTTAGTATAATAATATGATATAATAATTATCATATCAATATGTTTTAGAAATATTAGTTCCATACATATTATTGGTGTTCTAACACATCAATTAAAAATCAACATATTATAATGTTATCGGTATACCAACACGTTAAAGTAAAGTTGTTATGAACAACGACTTAATGTCACCGAGTTGAATACATATCTATATTTATTGACTTCGGTTGAATAACACTTTGTCAACTATGTTTAGTTCTTGATTTCTATATGTTAGACTTACTTTTTTGACATACAAACAAAAAATAGAACAAAATTACATTAACTATTATAAGAATAGATCAATCATCAACTACATGTTTTTAAATAAAATGAGCATACAACTTATTAGTACTTTGAACTTGACTCTCATTCTTTTTGAGATAGTCATCGTAAACTTCAAAGAGTTGTTTATATGTTTTAAGTAATTCAACTTGGAGGGTTTTGTTACTCTCCTCAACTTCTAATTTTATAGTTTTAACATCCTTCCCCTTTTGTTTGACCCTTCCAAGTCACATTGTAGATTGAAGTTTTTCACTTCAATCATAACTCTAAATCAAGCATCATTTTGTCATAATTTTAAATCTAGCACACCTTAATAGTAGTTCTAAATCAATCACTACTCAGTGATTGCTCTAGATCAAACACACATCAATCATAACTCTAAATGAAATGTATCTCGGTTATAACTCTAAATCAAGCACACCTCGTTAATAACTATAAATCAAATACACCATGTCAAAACTATAAATTGATCACACCTTAATCATAATTATAAATTAAGCACACCTTAGTAATAGTTATAGATAAAGTATGTCTCATTACTAATTTTAGATTGAGCTCACATTCATCCCAATGTGACCTATAAATTGATAGCTCATGTATAATTTGACAAAAATAATTATTAGGAAAATTTTAGGTTGACTCGTTGAAATTAGGAATGATAAAATAGGTTAGTTTATCCTGTTTTGGTTCGCCCTACCTTTAGCCCACCAAAAACGGCATAAGATGAGTTGACTTGTCATAATCAGGATAGGTTATAGACCTCAACCCCACTTGTTTCAAAGGGCTAGCGAGTTAACGAGACATCATGTTAATAATTTTTTGTTTATATAATTTTTTTATATGTATTATTTTAAATATATATTTAATTATATAAATAGTTTTTAAAAATTATTTATTAATTAATATATTTTTTAGATAAATTCAAAATATATTATATTTATGTATTAAAATAATTAATTATAATCAATAATTTAAACTTAATCGATTAATTTTTATTATTTAAATTATATTATTATAATATATTACATATTTTAATAACATAATAAAAAAATAATATTTTTAATTATATATTTTTATTTTTATTTTAACCTTGTCCTCCTACTCTTAGCTCGTCGAATTGGCAAATTGACGAATCGATCGTCTAACCTCAATCCGTTTTATCATTCCTAATTAAAATAAACATGATCATACCTATAATAGAAAAAGAACAATTTTACAAATAACTCATATAAAACTTCTTATTTTTTCAATATTCTCAAATTTAAAACTTATGTACCTACCTCAATTTGTGCACATACGACAATATTATAATATTAGAGAGAATTACTAGAATTTAATATTATTAATTTAATAATTTAAACCTGATTATTTAGTAATAAATGAGAAAAATTAATTAGTATAATTTAGCCTTAAAAATAGTATTATTTATTGTGGCAAGAGTCTTATAAGTACATTACACTACAAGAAATATTAAAATTACCGACGGTCAAAATCCGTCGGAAATTCGGTAATAATTTTATTATTTATTAAATATTTTACTTATTTATAACACATTTTATTAATTATTAATTATTTCTCCATAGACAGAATTCGAACTCGTACCTTAGAATCAAAGATCGATATTCCAACCACTAAGCTACTAGAATTTCTTGATAACAATTTACAAATAAATTATATTTATATACAAATATACAAATATATTTATATATATTTATATATATTTATATATATTTATATATATTTATATATATTTATATATATTTATATATATTTATATATATTTATATATTTATATATTTATATATTTATATATATTTATATATTTATATATTTATATATATTTACATATATATAATTAAATATTTATTTTTTAAATTATTTAATTTAATAAATTATTATAAATTAATCTAATTATGATTAAATTAAATTATTAAATAAAAAATATTTTATTTTTTAATTAGGTGAATAATTAAATTATATTATATAATTTTACCGATGGATATCCGTCGATAAATAATTGTTAATTTACATATAAATTTACCGACGGATATATTCGATCGGTAATTAATTGTTAATTTATCGACAAGTATCCGTCGGTAAATTCATCTATAAATTACAGACGGATTTATTGACGGATATATCCGTCTGTAACATCAAATTTCACAAATATTTTATATCCGTCGATAATTTCGTTGGTAATGATTATTTTCCGATGCTACAAGTCCGTCGGTAAATATCCGTCAGATATACGCAATTTTCTTGTAGTGTTATTATTAACTTGGCTGTTGAAGAATCTTTATAAATGAATCTTTCTCACTTTATATATCTCATCATTTTAGAATTAATTCCCTTATATTTGTTTATAACTCATCTCAATACAAATTGACACTTTCACTTCATTTTATTCACTAAAAAATAGTTGACTTTTAGCAATAAAATTTATCTCTAATAAAAATACTTAATTAATATAATATTTATAATATTACAATTATTTTATTATGCTTAAACTTAATATCTTATAATAAAAATACAATTTTTTATGAATTAAGACTATTTTTACTGTCAAAAAAATTTTTAAATTTTTAAATTTTGATCAGTTATGATTCTTATTTATCAAGTGAACTTATAATCTAATTTTAAATTTTTTTTCTTTTTAATTATAATCCTTAGGTCAGGATTTAAAATTATATTATTACGTGTATTAAATATTTTAATTATCATTATAATAATAACTCATAATTTTATATGAGATTTTTGAAATTATATCTTAAAAAGAAGATTATATCTTAACTAAATTGTTATATCGATCACAAAGATAGTTTATTTTCATATCACATAATTTTTTATAAATATAAATATTTTAATAATTTTTTATAATTTTAAACAATTTAAAATATAAGACTTATAATAAAATATTTATTTTTATTCTTTCACCACTGTTAATTCTGTAGTTGATATTATCTTATGCATGTAGAATTCCAATGTATTTACCAAATACGTGCCTAAGAAATTATTAATTAGTTCTCCTTTTTAGGCATGACTTATCTATCAATAACTTTAAACAAAATCCCCTTTAATTCGAGTTGAACAGCATCAACATGTTAACGGAATAATCATCACGTGCACATCATGCAAAAGTTCATCACTTTTTATGAGCTCAAGATATGTTTAGTAAGAATAAATTATCAAGAAAAAAATAAGAATATATTTTCGTTTATTTAAATTAAAATTAACATAAAAGAAAAAATATTCATTTAAAAAATTAAATATTTATTCAATTATAATAAGATTATCTATATAATTATTAATTGAGTTTTATTAATAAAATAGTTTTTTAAAACAATACTTTTAAATTTAATTTATAAATAATACTATATTACAAACAAATAAAAAATATTAAATTATTTATTTAACGTTTATATATTATAATATTTTATTAAAATAATAATTAATATATATTAAAATTATAAACATAAAAATAAATAATTAAATTGTATATAGGTCTCTTATTTATTTTGCAACTCTTATACAAAATTAAACTTTTGTTAAATATATCATACCTCTTCTAACATTATTAATATAATCAATCTATTAATTTATGTTCAATCAGAATCATGATAAAATATCCATGACCAAGATATGATTCACATAAAAAATGAAAAATACCCACGGAACATACGAGAGTCATGATATTATGAATTTTAATTAGTAATTGTGAACTTAAACGAGTGATTTCAAAATTAAATGTTAAAATAAACTATTTCGAAAATTAATAAGAAGTTAATGTATAAAGTAGGACCTAACCCATTCTGCAGTGTACCTAGGCTTAAAATTGGTTCCAATTATGGGCAAACAGAATGCGCCAACACAAACCAAATGGTGTACATTGCTTATCATGATTCCGTTAGCAAAGTGAATGATCACCAGCTTCCACATATATGGTCCCGCACCTGCGTGAATCATGACCCTTTCCCCATTTATCTTCAAACCTCTCTCTACCACCTACAAAATCAATTTTCAGTGTATCTATTTTGGTTATTTATAAGTCATAAATTCCTGGTTTTCCATTGATAAAATTTCTGCTACTAAATATGAACCTCAAAATGGACAACCCTCGTATGTGAATATTTTTAAGATTCCAACATAAAACCAATTGGCAATACGTGGAGTAGCCTAACATGTATTTAAACCATACCAAATGACATGAGCTAGGCGATATGGGACTTTCAACACACCCCCTCCAACGAAGCCTGCCGGACCAGACAAAGGGTACTTTTGACCCAATTAAAGGGCAACTTTTGGTCCATGACAATAACCGGAAATATGTTAGGCTTTGACTCTGATACCATGTTAATATTCCAACATAAAACCAATTGGCAATATGTGGAGTAGCCTAACATGTATTTAAAGATATTATGTGGGACTTTCAACAAATATGAAAAGCTTGATTAATTATAAACTTCTTAACCTAATGAGAGACAGTTATTTAATATTATAAACGCATGAGATCCATGGGCAGAGTGGAGGATATTATTCTTGCACGGTTACCAAGAAAGAATGTTTCAGGGACCCAGTGGTGGAAAAAGTGGAGACTATAGAGTCAAGCCTCAGCTTCTTTGGCTTACAATACAAGAAAGAAACGGAAAAGAAACCCATGTGGGGGCAATAGGGTGCGTGAAACAATAACCTACACATATAAAGCAAAAGCAAAATGTGGTTAAGTGAGCTTTTACATCTACAAATAAAGCACCATGAATGTGAGATGATGAAAGCAAGCTATGGAAACCACCTTCAATAAAAATCATATTACTATAAGAAAAAACTGAACCATTCTAGATAATTAATTAGGTTTTTCAAAATACCTACATAATCATCCAAATTAAACAAAAGGTGATTTTGAATTTGTTTAATAAAAAAGTTACTGATCATTAGTACAACTGTAAGAGAGTTTCAAACAATAACCTTTTTGGTACATCTCAAAAAATATTTGACTTCCACTTAATAAGTTAATTTATATACCTTCAATGAGATATAATAACAAAATATGTATACATTAATATAATTTTTATCTAACAAAATATAAATTATTAACAAGTAATCGTACTAATAGATAACTTTATGAACATAAAATAGCACATATTATGGATATTGTGCATTCAATATATATACACTAACCTGCCAATTAGTAGCATAAGTAAATTAGTTGAAACTCAATAACACTGTGCAGAGCTGACTTGTGTTTCTGACTGAAGAATCTCTCTTGGAACCCGACATGTCAGAACAAGGAATAATTGATTATTGACGGCAACTTGTTGTGGCAGAAACAAAGTGAGCGAAGATCTTGGTTAAAAGCACAAGAACAAAAGTTGTTGTCACATGGGAGAACTAAAAATTAATGGGAAATCAGTTAGGGGTTATGAATTAGCCTAGAAAAGCAAAGGAAACTGAAACTATATCTCATCATATATGAATACATACACATTCACGTGGATTTAGATCTGAAAGGTAGAGAGGAAATAAAAGTGAAATGGATAAAGAACCAAAACGGAAGCCATGTACCCTATTTTGTTAGAAGTTCTGATCACTTCAAACAGTTACTCATCAAATTAAGAAAAACAAAAAAAACAAAAAAACATGGCTAAAATAATGAACAACTCCTTGTTCTTTTCCTTCTCTAATGTCTACCATGATCCTCCACTAAGCATGCCATTCCAGTACCCAGTTAAATCCCCTTGACTTCTTTTTGGCCCTAACTCAGCACTCTTTGTCACCGTCTGTGACTTCAAATCTTCAACAGGAAACAAGATCCTTGCCCCTTCACCATCTTGAATCCCTTGGAAACTATCATCATAACCATTGTCAAACCCCGCTACGCTGAAGTTAAGCCCAGGTTTGAAGTCTAGCAAAGGAAACCCGGTTGAGCTATACATTGTGCTGGAATCTGAAACCGACGTGGGCATGAAAGAGGTTAAGCCCTTTGATGAACCAATCCCAGTTTTGAGAAGCTCCATTGCTGAAAAGTAAGAAGAAGTGGGATTTTGAAGGTTGGGTTGAGGAGGGGTTTCAGCCTTCTTGTTGTTGTCTTCAGTGTTGTATGGAACATCAATGAATCTAGATTCCTCAACTGGAGGATATGCCAAGTTAAGATCTTGGCCTTGATGGATCTTTGGGTTTCGAGAAGAAGACTGAGGGAAATTGGGCTGTGTTGTCAGATCAGGAAACTTCTTAGTTGATGATGGAGCTGGTGATGAAGATGCAGATGTTGGTCTCTTGTTCTTTCTTGGGCTTCCTCCCACTGGAACATTTCTCAGAGAACCTCCCTCAGTCCAATACCTTCTACAAGTCTTGCAAAAGTACCTTGGTTGGGAGAGGCTATAGTTATTGTAATAGCAGAATTTAGTGTTTGTTGAATTGCACCTTGGGTTCAAAGCTTGATCTTTCTGTGGCCTTGCCCTTTTCTCCAACATAGGAGGTTTTGAACCTTCCATAGGTTTAATTCCTCCAATACCCTTAAATATTTCCAAAATTAATAAAAACAAAAAGAGAGGAATTAAAAGTCCATTATTAATTGAACTCAAAATCTTATGGTAAAAGGAAAGAAACATGAACAGGAGGAAGCGAAACAAACAAGACAAGGAGCAGTGCTTTCATTAGGTCCTTTATCAGCTGGTGAAAAGGGGAAGAAAAAGGAGAAAAGAAGAAAAGGTGCAGTGCTTTCATTAACAGAATTTTTTTTGAAAAAAAGTGAAAGATGTTTAGAAGACGGCAACAAAATTGAAGTTTTGTGGGAATGCTAAACTGAACATCATCTTTCAGAAGCTTAAAAAAAGGTAAAATTTTACTTCGAATTTAGACTACCTAGATTACGAAACAGGAAACATAATATTCCATATTATGTTTGAAAATCACATTCCCAGAAGAATTCCTGACTATATGGAAAGACAGCAAAAGAAGGTTGGTGATACCTGTGCCCACTGTGCTGTGTCCATGGAATAAGGCAAAGGAAAAAGAAAAAGGCAACAAGTCTTGAAGAGACTAAAAACACCAACTTTAGAGGATGGTCACAGAAACAAACGTGAAAAGCTTTGAAAAATGGATAATGGTGGTGGTTCCATGTGTTTGCCAACTAGCTAGAGATATTGGATATACAGGGGTAGCACAGTCTTTTGGTGGCACAAGATTATATGATGACGCACAAGCATGGAACATTGTGTACATGCATGTAAGCCTACTATAAATGAATTAAAGTATTTTACGAAGTCAACAATGTTCTTCCTCGGTGTCTCTGGTACAAGAACAGTGGAAAGTCGGTTGATTCCTTTATGACCAGATGCAGATGCTGTGGGTTTTATCTTCCAGTTATTTCGCAGGCATATATAAAAAAGTTATTTTATTATAAATTTCATATATGAATTATTGGTCAAAGTTATTTACATAAATAATTTTTTTTTAATTTTCCATAATTTATATATATAATCCATAATAAAATATTTATGATATGTTGAAAGAGACCATTAAACTAAAAGCACAAGTCCAAATTCTCACCTTGCATTATGAAAAGGGATTGCTTCTTAAGACTAAACCTATTGAGAATGTAGAATCCCTTCAATATAAAAAGGTAAAATTTTGTTTTCCCTTCAATGTATATCCAACAATCTCATCATAGAATTGAGATCTTCCCAATCTCCTTTTTCTTTTCTTGATTGTTAGACTATTTTTCTCCTATTACACATATTCTCTTCATTCTTGTTAATAATTCTATCAACTTAGATTAATAATTATTTTATTTTTATAATTATCCGTTTTTTTCTTTTTATTATATTATAATCTTTATTGTAAAATAATTATAAGAACAATTTTTATTTTTTTCTTTTATAATTTTTTTGTTATTAATAAGTTTATTATATATTTATTAAATTATAAAAGTATTTTTTATTTAATCTTGTATACTAGATAAATCTTAATTTAACATTTAAATTATAGTGTTTACTAGTGACTATCCGATTTTAAAAAACTAATTACTTACTAGAAAGAAAAAAATAGAATAGAGAAAGCAAAAAAATGCATTGGGTAACAAGATACTATATATACAACTAGCCTCACAATTTATGAACCCCGCTTATATTATACACTTAGATATTCTACCAAAATATGAATCCATGTTCATCATTTGTCCTTCAAAATCACACCCTATTCCTCATCCGCAGTAAAATCAGGTTCTGCAGGCTTCTGAAGCAGCATGGGTGGTAATCTCTCTGCCACCCTACCCTTCTTTGTGCTATTACGGCGAAGCAATCTAAGAGCATTAGCAGCAAATCTAGAAGCATATATGGTGGCACCAAGGCTAGGTGAGCTCCCACCTGCTTTAGCCAATGCACTTTGCAGTCTATTCTCCTCTTCAACGAGGGATTCTTCAAGCTTCCTCTTGCTGTAGCGCCGCCATGCAGCTTGAATGAAACACGCAGCCCACGTGCGCCATTGTTGGGAGTAGAACCTGAAAGTGTGGCGGAGCTGCTTACTGTGAAGGCGCCGAAACTGTGATGCCACAAACTTCAAGTCATCAGCTTTGAGGGCGAAGGCTTCAACTTCTGAAAGAGTTTGGACAGTCCTGGTTGAAGTGGGAAGGTTGGATGAGGAATGGGGATCCAAGGCCCATGTGAGAAGCTCCTCCCCACAGAAATCACCAGCCTTGAGATACTCAGAGTTGAAGAACCCCGTTCTTCCACCGTTAGTTGTGATGGTCAATAGCTTCCCACGCATTATGAAGAGCATCTCGTCAACTGGGTCTCCTTCCCGAACGATGTAGCTTTCTTCAGTGAAAAGCACTGGCTTCAGACGGTCACACATTGCATCCAGAAGTTGATCATCCATTTTCTCAAACATTGGCACCTTAAGTTCACACAACGCAGAATATTGGGTTTGTTATTTCTAACAAATATTAAACTCAACGTCAACTATGGCTTTTGCCTTTTCCATATTCTCTATTGGGGCAGGGGTACTTACTCTCATCAGCAAAGCCAAACAAAGATGACGCTTAATGTCCCTTCTTAAATCCTTGGGAAGATTACGAATCAAATTGTCTTCATCTACGCCTCTGGTTTCTTGCCATCTGTACTGTTCATATCGTCTGATTCGCTCTCGCAGGCCGTCAGGAAGTAATCGGTGAGACATCCACTGCTCTGCATCCCTCCTCTTTACTCTCATCTCCTCCAATCTTGTGGTTGTTGACTGCAGATATGTCTGTTTCAAAACAAGTATAATTGTTCAAAACTAGAGAAAATATAACCTCATCACAGAATGAATGAATCCTAACTTTTTTTTCCTTCTTGTAGCATTTTTACATATTTAATCTAGCTTAAGGTCATAAAGATACAGAGCAGTGATCAAACATAAATTGCTTAGCTTCAGAATCACCACAAGAAGAATTGTGGAAATGTAAAGAAAGGACCAACGTTTTTGAGTATGATTAGAAGATAGATAAGAAAAAAATAGTTTGACAGTTGTTACAAGGAAATCTCATCATTCCACTAGGATACTTAATTCAACTAGCAAGATAGAAAGACTTATTGACTCTTACAGAAGAATAGTATTCAAAGAAGGAAAAAAAGAAAGCGAACAGAAAATTTGAGACAAATCTGAAGAGTAAATGTAGCACTGGCAATCAATGTACTACCAAATCCAAAATTAATAAATAGTGCTTGCCAGCTCTACTGCATAATTAGAAGAAATTGCATAGATATTTGGTACGAACCTGCATATTTCCAATGAGGAATGAAAATAATACCAAACCAGATACAGAAATGAAAACTGCAAAACATATTTCCCAAACATAGGTACTTGTTGCCAGGTTCTGACCAAGAGAACTGCAATAAAGGCACGCAGCTCCCCCAATGGAGGAGCAATTACAGAACATTAGATAATAACTAGAGTAATAATATGCTTAACTTTTAAATTGAAAAGAGATACACTCATTCTGGCTGAGAATCCCATCCCAAGCAGCATTTTTATTGAGCCGTTAAATAGATACAAAACTGAATTGTAAATCATTTTCCAGCCTTCACAAAGCATGTCAGATTATCTAACAACTACATGTTTTAATTTAACTGATGATCCATTCTTTGCCAATAAAAAAAAGAGACGTGACAAATTAACTTATTTTTGTCTATCCTACAAATATTATGTGCCCAACCACTTCTTGCACACAAAAACACATGGACCTGAAGATGCATGCACTTTGAATCGGAGAGAACTTGTAACATAACAAGTCATCCAGCATAATAGGGAACTATCATAAACATTTCATATGCTTTGAGCGCATGCAGACATATAGAGTCCATGTACAGCAACAGTGCAAAAAATACTTTTATTATTGCACATCAAACCTCATAAAGCAGCCACAAAATCATAAACTTACTGCAATAAAATATGATTTACCTTTAAACCTAAATTCATGTCATATATCAAAATTAAAAAGCAACTATGCGCACCTCAAATTTTTTAGGCCCCACCAAAAGCAGTAAAAGAACTTTTGTGGAAAATCTCTTGACTCCACAACACCAGATTGAAGGGCATCAAGGAACATTCCAAAATCAAAGAGCTTTTTATCTTCGTTCTGAATTGGGCAAGAATTATTCAGGAATGTCGAAATTTTGCTAAACCCACCCCAATAATCATTACAATACATATCTGCCTTGTTACACACTGTAGTATTACTTCGACAGGCTTCTTGCCAACATGTGGTTTCTCGTTCTATGGAAAACAAATACCAAAAGGCACCAACAACCTAAAGAAACAATTCAGTCAGCAATCAGAAAGAAATGCAAGCAACATCATTTCGAAGTTTCAAACCTTCATTTGATATTTTATTTTGTAAGAAAAAATGCAACATTGATGTGTTATATTTAAACCTACAATACTAGGAACTAAAACAAATTGGTACATGAAAACTACAATATACATGGATTCTTGAGAAGCATAACATATACAGGCAACGACATGACTATTTATTAGAAATATTTTGAAACTGTCTCACACCTGATACCAGTGCCTAAAATGTGTTCACCACATGCACAACTACACCTTCTTTTACAGTATATACATGCTGAATAAGTGATCATAAACAACCTGCTGATCACAAAACTTATCTAATTTGACAAAGAACGGTGCAAGAGAATTTATATCACATTCTCAAACAGAACTAGGAAACTTATCTCAAGCAGATTAAAGTTAGTCAACCTTTCAACTTGCATCTCTATTTTATGGTGCTCTCAAGGTATACTTTTATTCCAGGATTGCTGTGACCATAAATATTATAATATTTTAGGAATAAAAAGGGGAAGAAATGTTATTAATAGGTAAAAATCATATACATTTTTTACTAGAATTTAATATTTCTGAGAATATTTTTTGAAATCCAATTTTTCCCATGGAAAAAAAAAATACCCACCTCTCACCAGGGAAATGGAAATCAAATAGAACATTGAATTGCCACTGGAGGGACAGAGGGTAGAAATTTTGTAATTACCTAGACTGTGGAAGCAGGCAAGAGATGATTCTGCTAGAAAAGAGTGTAATAAATGTAAGAGGGGAGGCTTAGGGGAGATAGGAAGAATTGTCTATAGAGAGAGGTATTGAATGGTGATCGTCGTTCCCAAGTCTAGAACTCTCTTGAAACTTATCTATTCTTTCATTTTGATTGTTCCTATCAGAATTTAAACAAGACTAATCTTGTCCAATCTTCAAATATCTGCATCTTATAATCTATGTCTGTCATGGAACTACCATAGTATATAGAATAGGCTCTGCAAATATCAAGATTTATAATTTGACTGATCAGACAAAATGAAATTGTTATGGATAAAATATAACTACCACCACCACATCTGAAAAGTTATCAATAACGGATCAAACAAAAAACAGAACCAGGAAAGCCAGAGATAGAAAGTAAATAACACAAACAAATAACTATATGAAAGCAATATTATAAATTCATTTACCATATATATATATATATATATATATAAGCATAAACTTACATGACTTGCAAGCATGTAAAGAAAGAGATTAAATGCGGCTCCAGCCCAAGCAGTTTCAGTGAGAATGCCAGAGGTCCTTGTAACTTCTCGATATAATGGAATGACTCGCAATAAACGAGGCACATATTGGAAGAAGACAACAAATTTCAGTAAATTCTTGGTATTAAGTGATTTAAAACCACTCATCTTTGGAATGATAACAAGAATTACCACCTAGCAATATTATAGCAAGCCTTGAGTAAATAAATGAACCCCATAATGAAAACTGAATCAACACCACTGAGATATTAGTGGGACATACACAAGATGAAAGTATCCGTACCTGTGGGAGGGGAAGAACAGCAAGAATGTCAACTAAGAAATATGTTGATAGATACCTCCTTGCTATTGCCCAAGAATCTTCAACCAAAACCCCTCTTCCAAATACACGAGAAGAGGGAGCAATGAATCCAGTATGAAATTGGAAAATCATGTGGATTATATAAAAAGCATCAGAGAAAGATCTTAAGACAGTTGCTGTAATCTCCATCTTGCTGTCCAGTGAAAGACATTTCTTCTCATCATCAATAACCGGGACATAAAAGAACAAAGGATCTAGTGATACTGCAATAACACATAATAATACAAAAATCTTGTTCCACCTTTGAAGGAATGGACCCTGTGGATCAAGGATTTTCTTTCTAGAACTAAAGCCTCTAGAAAGAGCACAACTATAGGGAAAAGATTTGAATGATGTCCTGAATCTTTTTATCCTCTCAGAACCAGATTCCAATCCATTTTGAAACTTCTCAGAAACTGAACTTATTGTAGTTCTAAATATCCCTGAGCTTACAGTTTTAACCGCAGGGTAATTGCTCTCAGAACCCTTCTCCGAATTCCAATCCCGAAACCTGAACATCACAAAAATATGGAACAATAAATAAATGATAATGTAAACTTAGTTAATAATTGTGATATTCCTAAAAGATGTCTTCCTTATAAAATGCTGATTGCGGCATAAATCTTCTATAATATAAGGTTGATAATTTGGAAATGTTGAAACACTTTGATTCGGATGACTGGTAACTGAAATCTTGACACTTACCCTCAACGGCAAGCATAAAAAAACATGATTAAAAAAAAAAACAGAATGCTTCTAAGATTTTCATAGACATCGATATAAAACCATTGAGTGTAAATAAGGCACGCATCATCAAACTAACCTAACAAACTTCTCTTGTTGTGCAGAACTCATAATTGTAGCCTACTTCAAAAACAATGCAGCAAAACCAGACTCGTAAATCTCACCGAATACCTTCTTCATGCACCACACTCCCTGATCCTGAAATAAATAAGAGACTTAGACAATTAGATACTTAATTTCTCAAGGAAAGCAAAAACCCCACCATAACAATGTCAATATCAACAAACAGGTGAAATTAATTAAAACTTTTAATGTTAAAACAAAAAAACAAAAAAATTGTGATAACCAAAAGTATAGTTCTCAATACTGCACTTATGTAATATATGCCATTAAAAAACAAACACCCAATCCTTTTTTTGTCCAAGAACTTTTAAAAATAACTAACATTTTGATGTTGATTAAACTCCCAGATTCCGACCAAGAACACTGATGAAGTAGAAAAATAAGCAATTACACAAACAATGGAGAAAAATAACGAGGGGCGTGTTAAGTATGCGGAGTAGCAACATAACAAGAACTCAAACAGGAAAACAAAGAAAATAGAGAAAGCACAGACATGAAATTGAAAAGTTTGAACCTGTTCGCAATGGAAAATGAAAAGAGAGAAAGAAGAAGAGGACCAACCTATTGAGTAGGAATGGCTATGGAAGCAGATTGCAAGTGAAGAGGAATGAAGAAGGGGTGAAGAAGAAGAGAGGAAGGTTCGAGGAAAGGAGCGAGGAAGTGACAGTTACTACACCAAGTGGGTTGGTTTTTTTCGCATTCAAAAGTTAAAATTTGAGTAAAGTTGGGGTTTTTACAGATACTGATAGGGGAAGGGAGGACGAGTGTGTTTGTTGGGTGTGTGAAAAGGGACGATGAGACAAGAAAATTCATGTGAGTGGTGGGTCCCACTAAGTTTAAAGTTTAAACATTTAAAATAAGTAGTTTTGTCTGCGTTGAGAGTGGTGGGTTTATTCCGTGCTGGTGGTGGTCGGGTCAAATCCGTTGACAACAGGGGTCGTCCAATGCAGGATTTCCCGAACCAATCCACGCACTGTTAGATGTCGTGGAATAAAATAAAATTAATTTAAATTAATTCGTGCAATCGTACGATACGAAGGTTATAAAGAAATAATTTTGCTTTTTATTTTAAAATTATTTGTTATGTTATGTATTTTAAAATAGATTGTCTTATATATTATTTGTACATGTTGAATATACGATAATAAGGATGCAAAATTAAAATAGATAATCATAGAAATTACTTATAATTTTAACTATATAATTGTCTGCTGTATTCTTTATAAGATAATATTATTATTTATTAAATACATATAACTATTTTTATTATGTTGTTAATGAGGAAGACAGAAAAAATATGGGAAAAAATTATCATATAACGAAGAGAATAAAAAAAAGGTTTGGTGTAGATGAAGAAATAAAAAAAATAGTATTATAAAAAGAAAAACTACAATTTTTATTATAATGTTATAAAAAAATTAAAAAACAATAATATAAAAATATAAATACGCTTTAATTTATTATTGATTCCATTTATAGAAGTTAAAATATTTAATTTAAATTTAGAGAATAAAAACAAACCTATTTTAAAATTAGAAACTACAAATGTATTTAAATCTAAAACAAAAATAAATAAAAAATTATTATGCTTTTGAAAATCAATGTGATAACTGTTTTTCAATATCTTATAAATCAAATTTGATAGTAATGGGTTGACTTTTCTTATACAATAAAATGAGTTTAACTTTATATATATATATATATATATATATATATATATATATATATGAAGATAAAAAAAATATACATAAAATATAAAAAAATAAAACTAATTTATGAAAAAATAACAAATTAAAATATGTAATAAAACAGTTCTCAAAATATTTATTCTCTTTTATTTATACTCTTACCTTCATATTTTCATGTAACCAAAGATATATAAATTTTATTTAATTATTTAAGTTTTCGTCATTAAAAATATTTAATAGAATATTATATAAGGATTGGAAACTAAACAGTAGAAAGTTATTAATATAATTAAATGAAAAGAGAGAAAATATTTCTCTTTAATAAATAATGATGTCATCTGAAGTCTTCCATGTTTTACTTAATAGTATTCATTAGGTTATTACTCAATTCAACCAAACACAAATTGAATTGATTTTCTTTGTTATGAGTTAAAATCAACCCCCAAAATTTAATAGGATCAGATTTTTTTAACATTGTTTGCTTTAATGGATATATTGTTTATTTGGATAGAAAATTGATCCATAAAATAGGCACCAGTAAGTGATCAAGAACTAGTTGAATAATTGACCTTCAAAAGTTAATGTGAAATCATGTATTTGTTGATAAAAAATTATGAAAAACTACTAGAAAGTTTATTATTTTATTTTAATTAAAATCTAATATTTATTTTTAGTTAAAAAAACATATATAAAATGGTTTTCAAATAGTTTATATATTCTTTTCTAATTTTAATTCTTTTTAAATTTGTAAAAATTAAATATTATTTCATATTAATCCTTGTAAATTTAATATTATTTATAAATTATTATAAAAGATTATAAACTATAAATATGACTATATAATATTATAAGTTTATTTTTTATTTATATGTAAATTGATTTAAATTTTTTTATTTTTATTAATAATTATTTCATATTAAATCATATATATATATATATATATTTATTAATTTATATTAAAATTATTTTGTTTTATTAATTAATTTATTTTATCAATCTAATTTTTTATAATCAGTCAAATTAATCTTATTAACCATTATCTTTTCATTTGTTATCTTTTACTCTCTATTATTATTTTTTTTAATTCAAACAACATAATTTTCTATTCCTTTTTCCTATTTTCTATTCTCTCAATCCAAACATAGCTCGGAATTTGATGATCTCATACTTAATCTAACTCATTCCAACCAAAAAATTAAATACTAATAATTACTTAATCTATTTAATTATTTTGTTACTATAAAATATTTTATAGATATTAAATTATTCAAATATTAATTAATGTAGTATATTTTCTAAAAAAATATTCTAAAAAAATTAATAAAAACGTATTCTAAAAAACTTGTCACCCAATTAACTTAACACAATTAAACCTAATTAAAGGTGGGTTGGATTGAGTAAAATGTAAGTCAAAACCTTACCCAATCTAAGTGGTCTAGACTTTTGGTTTTAATATATATATTGCAAAATCATTGTCCTCATCTCTCTTCAAAATAAATATACATGTAACTTTATAATTACACAATTACTTACTTTTAATTAATTAATTTATTGAAAAGATAATTTTTTTCATTTATTTTATTTTACTCTTTAAAAAAATTTATTTTTTACTTTATTTAATCTTTCTTTTTTTTCATTTTACTAGAATGTGTGTATGCGACCAAGAAAATAACTCTCCTAGTTCTTAGTCTTAGGAAAAAAATTAAGAAGGGATAATAAAACGTGACTTTGTGCATTGATTGTGTCCAAGAGTGACTTGTTGTAACTAGAAGTAATAATAAAAAATTTGGTTGTAATTAGGTTTATTAAAGTGGAATTTTTAAGAGTTTTTTAAAGGAAAACTAGGTGAAGCCAAAGAGTTAGGATGAACTAATATAATCCAAGCTCTCTTTGTCCTTCTATCTTATACTTTCTATGTGGATGTGTGTCTATTGTACCATCTTCCAAGTACTTGCAAAAAAATATTATACTTTATTTAATCTTATTTTATATATGTTTAACTTGTTCTCTATTTCTTAGTTAAATATCATGAATGAATCAAACATATTAATCATAGGTATAACTTCATTCGCAAAAAAGAGATATCACAATGCAAAAGATTGAAATAAAAGGTATATAGAGTTTGAACTTGCTAAATGTTGATTGCTAGTAGTTGTCATCTGGAACTACTGTTGTGAATAAAGATTCAATTCAAGGTGAAAAATTGTGAAATAATACCTTGAAATTATATTCATATGTATAAGGTTCATTATGAAGTTTGGCATTTGCTAGACTACTGATGTAGTCTTTGTTGGAAAAATAATAATAATAATAATCTTGATTTTGATTCTAACGATCAAACATAAACATAATCCCATACTGATAAACATGCTGTAAACTGAATGCGAAAGCGTACCTGAATTAACCATAATGATGATGTCTTTGTAGAGCACTGTATTGATCTTATGGTCTTCCACCTGAAGAGCACCTGTATTTCCCTCTTGATTTTCTCTCTTGATGGGGATAGAAAGAAAGGAACAGGAATGAAACTTACGTTCTGTCTACGTGCTCCCAGAAGGGGACCATGACCCTTTAAATAACCAGAATTAGGTTAATTACTTAAGTTTTAGTATTTCCAATTTGACCCCTCATCAAATTAGAAATTGTTCTATGGTCTCTACACAATTTTATTTTCATGACATATGCCTTTAGCCAAAACTTTAATTTAGTCAGATCACTTTATTATTTGGCTTAATAAACAATGGCCCTAACACATTTAAATTATGTATCATATATATACATGACCCAAATTTTTTTCCAACAATCTCCCACTGGTCATAAATATATATGTCCTTACAACCTTACAAATGTGTTAGACTTTATGAGCTCAAAATTGCCATTATATTCCTTTAGCATACTCCAAAAGTCCTGTCCATTAATCATATCATGATATAGAACCAAACCAGCTTTTCATTTCATCATCGCAACTAAAACCAACAATGATTACTCATCCTAACATAACCAAATGACATGGATTCATCATGAAATGTGTAGCATGAAAAATTACGTGAAGGTGATCTGTACACTCTATTTTCAACTGGTCTAAACTTTAACTTATTGAGATCAATATAATATCCTTAATGTACAAAGTGTAATGAATGAACGAAAAAACTGCATATCTATAGATAACCAAATATGTCCAAAAAATAATGTATACATATATGAAATTAAACATAGAACATAAAATATATGAAATTGACTAACTCCCACTAAATCACAAATTCCTCAAACTGTAAAACACCCATGTGAGCAAAATGCTCA